GGTCAATGGCTCAGTGTCCGCCTGGAGACCAGTAATTGAGTGGTGTCCCTCAGGGATTGGTGTTGGGACCAGTCTTGTTTAACATCTTTGTCAGTAAGTTGGGCAGTGGGATTGAGTGCGCCCTCAGCAAGTTTGCCGACGACACCAAACTGTGTGGTTTGGTTGATACGCTGGAGGGAAGGAATGCCATCCAGAGGGACCTTGACACGCTTGTGAGCTGGGCTGATGCCAACCTCGTGAAGTTTAACCATGCCAAGTGCAAGGTCCTACACCTGGGTCGGAGCAGTCCCAGGCACAGCTACAGGTTGGGCAGAGAAGAGATTCAGAGCAGCCCTGCAGAGAAGGACCTGGGGGTGCTGGTCGATGGGAAAATGAACATGAGCCGGCTTCAGTGCGCACTTGCAGCCCAGAAAGCCAACCGTATCCTGGGCTGCATCAAAAGGAGCGTGACCAGCAGGTTGAAGGACGTGATCCTGCCCCTTAATTCTGCTCTTGTGAGACCTCACTTGGAGTATTGTATGCAGTTCTGGTGTCCTCAACATAAAAAGGACATGGAACTGTTGGAACAAGTCCAGAGGAGTGCCACAAGAATGATCAGGGGAGTGGAGCACCTCCCATATGAAGACAGGCTGAGAAAGTTGGGGCTGTTCAGCCTGGAGAAGAGAAGGCTGCGTGGAGACCTCATAGCAGCCTTCCAGTATCTGAAGGGGGCCTGTAAGGATGCTGGAGAGGGACTCTTCATCTGTGACTGTAGCGATAGGACAAGGGGTAACAGGTTAAAACTTAAACAGGGGAAGTTCAGGTTGGATATAAGGAGGAAACTCTTTACTGTAGGGGTGGTGGGGCACTAGAATGGGTTACCCAGGGAGGTTGTGAATGCTCCATCCCTGGCAGTGTTCAAGGCCAGGTTGGACAGAGCCTTGGGTGGCATGGTTTAGAGCAAGGTGTCCCTGCCCATGGAAAGGGGGTTAGAACTAGAGGATCTTGAAGTCCTTTCCAACCCTAACTATTCTATGATTCTATGTTCGCTCTCTGATCCTTTGTTGAGAGGTAAATCCTTTATAGAAGCATAAGATTTGCTGTTCTAAAATGTTATTCTGTCTTTCCCTGGATGATGGCATTGGTCTCAGGAGAGAAACCTCCAGAGATGACTGCCTACAAAGGCAGTGGTAAAGAGTGAGGCAACAGGTGCAGTTACCGCCATAGTAGTGACATTTTGGGTAGGTGAATTTATGGGGCAGAACTGCTGCAGTTCAGCTTTGGGCAGCCTTCAGCACAGCTCTGCTAGGCAGCAGTGCGTGTGCCATGACTCTGCTGTTGATCATGGATCTGGCAGGGCCTTCCAGCCCTTACTTTCCAGGTAGTATGTTCAGTTAACTGTTTCATTTAGCTTTTCTTCTCACCTTGTTATCCCGTGCCTGGTACTTTAGTAGGCTCTATAAGAAATCCGTCTTTGCTTTTTAAACCCACTGTGTAAATCCACATGTGGTGCTTGGCTCTGTTTCTTGAGAAGCTTCCACGTGATATGCAGTGATAGATCCACAATTCGTTTTGCCTACTCCCAGTGGGGCAAGATCCGGGTCACTAGTGCTGCTGTGGCTTTTGATAGGAGCAACAGCACCCTTTGCTGCCTGCTATCCCTTCAGCCTTGGCTCCACAGCAGCTGTGCCCTGGGGCAGAGACAGCAGTGTAGCCAAGGCAGGCAAGGTCCATGTGGCCCCACAAGCTTTGCAGTATGAGTGCAAAGGGGTGGAGTGGCCATTTGGACTTCACCCTGCCTGGTTGTGGTGAAAGTCTGTCTTTCTCTGTGGGTAGCAGAATACCTGCACCAGCACTGATGGCAAAGGAAGCAGCTCCCCCATGGCTGCTTTTCCTGCTGCTTGCAATGCTTGTTTCAGTGAGAGCTGTGGCACTGCATCAGTGTGTGTGATTGGGCTTTCCCCATAGCTGGGACTTGGCAGGATGTACCTTAGCACTGATGATTCATTGATGCCTGTGGAGCCAGTTTGGCCTGGAAATACCTCAGCTGAAGTGCTTCAACACAGATGGCCTCCTACTTAATAGCAAGAAGCAGCTCTGTAGCCACACCATGTATTTTAAAAGGCAGTATACTGTAGAAAAGTGCCAATTTAGTTTGACTGGTGTTATGTAAGTTACAATCTCCCAACTTGAGTTCTGCGATATGTATCAATACATTTGTCTGTTACTGTTTCATTTCCTTCTACGTTTATTTGGGTAGCTGTGCGCAGTTCACTGTGGAGATTCATGTTCCACCAATGAGCTGTGTAAAATAAGTTTTCATTTTACACCTTATCTTTGGATGGAACACTGTGGACATAATGACATCTAGCACCCAAATTAGCTTGGTTTACTAATGACAGCATGCTTGGGGAATGATGTTGTCTGGGCGGGTACTTTTGTACTGGGAAGGAGGATCAGCATTATTGGGAAAGAGAAGTGCTGGTAGCAGGTAACAGGCCATAAGGCTGGTGTTCCTCAGCACATCTTTGCTTGGTTTAATCAGTATGAATCCAGATATTTGAATCTCTGCTATGCTAACTTGTTACAAAGAGCGTGTCAGATGTTTGCTGTTATCATGAGCACTGATAAGGAGAAATGCTGCAGTTTGTGTAGATGTGGTGCTTAAGGCAGTTTTAGGGATTCAAATAATGAAACTCTTTGGTTTTGTTTAGTTTCTAGAAGGACTGTTAAGGTTGTGAAATTGATCTTGTGAATTAAGATCATACAGCTGCTTATGATTTTAAATGCGTTCTGTTGTGTACATAATTTGATGGACTTTGATTACCCCATGCTTCTTTTTTCTGGGCAACTGTGGGGTGTTTGTGTGTGTTTGCTTATTTTTTTCCAGGAAGTTTCTTGCTGTTTTGGCAAATAAGTTTTTGGCTTATGACTGGTTTTGTTTCATCAGTTGTAAGGGGGAGAGCCTTTGCCTCTCAAATGTGCCACTAGTCATATGAAGGTTTTGTTGCTTATAGCTTTGGGTGCTTAAATTATTATTATGTGGTTGACTTCACCTGAAAATTTGAGTGTTGTTTCTCTGATGCTACTAGCTTCATAACAGAAACAGAAAATTAATCTATGAACATGGCAAGATTGCAGGAGGAAATAGAGTTGTATTTCTATTTTTGACATAGCTGGGTCACTTTTCTTAAACATCAGATTTTAATTGAAATCTCTGTTTGAATATTGTGTGTTTCTTTAACTTGAGTCTTTGATTTAAAAAAAAAAAAAAGATCTTGCAGCTCCAGTTAAATAAATTGAGCAGTACTTACTGAACAAGGTGTTAGCAGTTTTGAAAAAACAGCTCTGAAGATTTTCACGCTGTGCATGCAAAATTTGTATTCACTTTTGAACTTAAGCATTCTGAAGATTTTTCTCTGTGTATAAAATCTGGTTTATTTTCACAATGGTCCATTTTTGCAAAGATGCTGCTAAAAGAGTTTGTACTATGATGCACTATGGAACTGCCTAGAGAGAATTATTAAATCACATTAATGTCTGGAAAAAATGCAGTAGATAAGACCAAAACCTGCAAACAAACAGTGAATTTCAAAAGTAAATACTTAGTAGAGACTCATTGAAGAGGATACAGTCTGTTTCATTGACTGAATGACAAAGTATAGTCCGGGGCAAAAAAATAGTGGTTAAGCAGAAGCTCTATGATACCACATACTTCATGCTCATGAAACTGAAAAATTAGGGTTGCCAGGCACTTCACTTTTGGTACTATGTAACTGTGGAAGAGTTGGCAACTTCAGTATTCTTTATTGCTTTTTTAGGTTAGTGTAGATGCTTTAATCAGTCTCAGTCCAGTTGTTTTTATTTTAGTCTAGTGCTGGCCTGTATGTAGGGAGGGTGCCACAAAGCCTTAAGGGACAACAAGGCTTAAAATATAACAAAAAGAAACTCATTAATAGATATTTGTATTTTTAACATAATGCAGAACTGGGAGCGGGTGGGGGGTATTTAAATACTTTTTGTGATAGTAGTCATTCCAGAATTTGACAAGTGATGAAATTGCTTCTATTTCCACTGACACTTATGAGGGTTTTTTGACAGCCTGATCAAATTAGTTCTTTGTGAATGTGACAAGAGCTCTAGCAAAATTAAAATTACTTCTGAAGTGCTACATAGAAATTAATTTAAAAAGAAGGGGAAAGATACTAAGTTAGTTAATACAATTTTCAATATTCAATTGTGCTAGGGATGTGTTCTGTTTATTTTGGGTTCTGTCACCAAGTAATTTCTTTGTGCATTTTTCTAATAAAAAGGCTAATGTGTATTTCAAAGATTTGAACTTACCAAAATCGCTTTTTAATTACACATACCCTTCTCTACCCAAAATGAAAGATGTCAAGGTCAAATCAAAGCCTTGTGCTGGTTACTGAATTTAATGATTTTTTTTTCTTCATAATTTAATTCTATACTCTGAATACTATACTTGCAGTAGCATGATCTGTAATAGCTTTGCTTTGATTTTACTAGGTAATACATTCCTTAGTAAATGTTCTATTAAGTAGGAAGGTGCTGAATGGCTAGATTCAAGAGAGATGTAAAAAAGTATTTGGTCACCTTAACATATCTTAAAATACCAGAAAAGGGAAAATGAAGTAGTGTATCTGCGGCAGTTATAGGTTCCTGTGAAATGGGAGCAGAGTTGCTTGAAAGTTATTGCAGAACTTTATGTATATGTTTGGTTTCTTGTGGATCTGTATGTCCAAGTAAATGCCTTATGGAAAAGGGGTAGTGCTACACTGCACTGCTCCTAATCTGCTGTGGACAAGGTAGAAGCGCCTGCTTTTGGGGGGAGTATCTACTCACAAAACTGGCTATAATGTAGTAAAGGTTTGGTGTTGCAGAACACTTCGCCTTTTGATTATAGTTTTTGAAATTAAAAGATGTTGTGACTTTATTTGTCAAAGCCAGTAAACTCTTCAGGATTTTTTGATATCTTTTTTATTTCCCCCCCCCCCCTTAAGATCGCGCTGGAAGCATCAGTACTCTTGATTCCCTAGATTTTGCAAGATACTCTGATGACGGCAATAGGGAAACAGACGAAAGAGTAGCAGGTAAGTTTTTTATGTGATTTAGAAATCATAGAATGCTAACATTACTTGACTTGGTGTTTCTTGAATGTATTTAAATGGACATTCCTGAAGATGACAAGACTTCACTGTGGTGATTTAACTGGTTGCTTAATGACAGAACTGTGTTTCAGTCACTTCTACTGTATTTACTGTAAATGTTCAGGCAAGTGTACTTCTGTATAATTCCATATGTAAACAGGTTAGAAGCAGCCAGATACTTGAAAATTGTGCCCAGCTTTTGACAGTAGAATAGTATCTTGATACTGCCTACTGACTACTAGTGTTCAGCTGAAACATATGCTAAAATATTCTACGTAGTAGTCTGCGACTACTGCATGGGTCTGTAACAAGCCTCTTAAATACAACTTCTGTGTAGATCAAATGAGCATTATCAAACCTAGAGAAGTTCTGGGATTTTCTCAGTTCCATAAACCGTCTTTGCTACAAATGTTAATTGTAGTGCTTTTTTCATCTCCCATTTGATTCCTTGATTGTGTAAGTCTTTAAGGAAGTGACAGAGTTTTTTTGCCTCTTGCAGTTGTTCTGAACTTAAAGAGCCTATGGCATTTTTAATTTGAAGATTTATGATTATCTCTCCAAAGGCAGAGATTGATTTTTCACTTACATTTGAAATTATTATAATAATCTCATTTGCATATGAGACGTTTCTCTAATCCAGGCTTTTTAATAAATTCAGATATTGTCGTGCACAGCTTCTGTAGAGAAACCCATAAAAGCTTTTCAGAAACTGCTACAGAACTGTTTCTTTCTTGTCAGTTAAGACTGTTTAGTATCATGAGTACCTGAAGATTGTCAATGTTGTGACCTTTATTCACACAGTTCAGCTTTATGAAACCTGAAATTGCAAGCTGCTGTGTCTCTCTGCCACACTTGTTTCTGTTCTGAACCACCATGATTCATCCTAGCAGAAATACTTTCATGTTCTTAAGCAAAGAAAAGGCTGGTGAAACATAGTTCTGTTAAGCATCTTGATTCTTGAAATTTTTTCTCTCGGTCAGTCTGAAACGGCAAGCAGTATTGACCAAGAAAGAAGATACGTAAGGGTTGGAAAAGCCTCATTTTCTTACACAGTTAGTGTTTCTGAGGTAAAGGACTAGATTAAATTCATGAGCATAGAGCAAGTTCAGGTATTTTGATGCTCTGGTCTTGAACTTCAGGTACTTGACTTTCTTTGATTTATATGTAAGTTTCCACATTCTTATTACCTTCTAATTACTGTCTTTTTCTGTATACATAGTCAGTTTCAAGGGAGGCAAGAGTTGTAAATATGCAGCTAATTTTCTAAACAAAATGTGTTTAAGGAACCCAAGTATTTCTAAATTGTGTTCAGGAATATACGAAAGAAACAAGCAAATTAGAAAAATTTAAATTTTTCATCATCTTAGTATTTCTCAGCATTGTACTAACTGGGAGAGCTAGTTCCATCTTTGCATGGAGCTGTCTTTAGTAACTGAATTGAATAAGAGATGCTTATAGAAAGTAAAGATTAGTCAGAATTGACATCCAGTTAGAGCCATTAATGTTCTGATGGAACATTAATGCCAAAAAGTTGATTAATTCAAGTATAAAAAGAATATATCTTAAAATTAAATTTACGTAAATCGCAAATAGGTGGTTTTGAAGATTGCAGTATATTAATTGGCCATTGTCATATGTAATAGGCAAGCAAAGTATATGTCAGGATATTTACATTATGTTTCTGTGTACCTTTAAAGAGGTTTTCCTAAGAGTTGTTAAAAAGTAACATAAGAACTTGAACAAAACAAGACTAGATGTTATTTCTGAATGTTTGTAAAGACTCATAAGTTTTCCAAAATATCCTGTTTCTACTTAAAATTCTGATTCAGTTATCATTGCTTAAAATCTTCTGCCTCAATTCTGTTTAAAACCTGAGCAATAAACTTCAGAAAAATGGTAAGTACTTAATTTGCATGTAAATAAATTATATCAGTAGAGGTTTCAAACTTTTCATATCCAGCTCTTTCTTTGAACAAACTGGCTTAACTTCTCCTTTTGAAGTATTTCTGAGCTGCAGTTGCACTTTGAAATGTAACTGGAAACCCACCCTGCTTATTTCTTCTCCTTTTCTTTCTCAGCAAAGAGGTTTGATCTTAGGAGATAAAATTGTAATCTGTTGTGGAAGCTTGAAGCCACGATCTGATAGGCATATTTTTCTTTTGATAGTTCTCAGAGTGAGGTTCGAATAGTTTCTCTTTGTAAATGTTTTTCTTATGCTGTTATCTTTGTTTTATACTGTTCGAACAGAACCCATGATTTCCACATCAATTCCCTAGTCAAATGTCACATAAAGGGTAGGAAATAACTGTACATTGTCAGTTAAAAGAAACTGGTCCCCAGTCAGAAGGACTTTAAAACTGAAGTTAAAATGTATCCAGTTGCAAATACTTTAATACCATAACAGTATTTGGAAGCACAAAATCAAAAACTTATGCAGGTATACCATTGAAAGCATCACTTTTCTATTTTAACATTATAAATGGTGTTAAATTCAGTTGCCATGTTTTTTATTTTACGAACCCAAAAATTCCTGGAAATGGGTTTTGGTATTTCAAATCTGTTAGCCCAGTTCATTCCATCTGGTGTTAGAATCAAAATTTGGGCTAGAAGCAAACGTGAGTTGATGTGAACTTCTCACTTGGGAAATCAAGATAGAAGTCATAGAAGCCAATCAGAATGTGATGAGCATGATGAAAGGAACGGCAGTTTTTAGAAGGCATCGGTTGTCTTCCTTATGCACCTGATCTTAACATAGACAACTGTGTAACAAATTGAGTAACACGTTTGCAATCTACAAAGAGTTTCAAAAACTAGACATGTCCCTAGAACTTGCAATTTACTAAATGGGAACAACTTGTTCTCTAAAATGCCTTGAATCTAAATTCACATATTAGGTGCGAAACAGTTCGTGCTAAGATAGTCAGTACTGAAGGATTTACTTGGCTTAGTAAACCTCCTCCAAATATTCATTGTCACAAAACAACCTGAGAATAGAGAAAAAAAACCCCGTTCCATTCCTGTGGAATAAGAGTACATTTAACTTGAAGTCAAATACCCAGAGCTTTTGGTGAAAATAGGTTATCTGACATTCGATCTAAGGAACTGAATCTTCTGCCACATCTTAAGTTGACTGTGTACACAACCACCTGCTTTCCATAATTGAAAACATTTAGAATTGCTAACCTGCCTTTGACATCTACTATTCTGAGAAGCTGATAATTTTAAAAACATAATGCTGTGTTTTCAATGATGATAAAATTCTCATAATCAAACTTCAAGCATTTATGTTCTCAGATCTCCCTGCATTAGCATGGATTTCTGGCTAGACTATGTATCTCTGATTAGCTGCATAAAATACTGTCCCTGTCAGGATTTGAACCTAAGCTCTTACCAGCTCTAAATATGGTCACTTCTTCATTGCAGTTATACCAGGAAAGTGGGAATTAGGAAACCTCAGGTCTTGAAGTATGTGGTAATAGTGTCTCCATTGCTGACTGTAGTCAGTGAGCTTAAATTTCTTCTGATTAACTCAAAACGTATGCGCCAATCTATCAAAAGTAATGGGATGTCATGTATGTTTTAGAGGACATATTTTAGGACACCTAGAGTTCTACATTTACTGTACAAGGAGGAAGAACTTGAAATGACAGTTAAGAAACAAACAACAACAAAACTTGTAACTGTAACTTGTAACTCCAAATTTGGAGAAAGCCAGGTAAGCACAGAGGCCCTTGATACTTCATAGGAGAACTGATTTTAAAAGAAAATTCCAGAATGCCATATAGTGGCTTCACAGCACAAAACTACCTTTCTACAGTTCTCTGAAATATTTCATAGTGAAGTATCAAGTCTTGACAAGATAATTCATATGTAGAATGTAAACTTCTAGTATAATTGAAAAAAAATATTGCTTATGCAAAAGCAAGTACTGAAAACTTTTGCAAGTGCAGTTATTTCCTCAACTTTTTTGCCTTGGACCAACAAGACCACTGTTCATGTTGATTTCAACTTGTTCAATATCTCAACTCACAGCTTGTTCTCTATGGCTAACTACTACAATATATGGTTCTGTAACTTATGAAATCATTAACAAATGTGAGTGAATAGAATATGATCCTTGAGAAAGCTTAGTTTTTAAATTTCAGAGCTGAGCTGACAAGCTGCCCAGTCCTGATACATACTTCTTTTTTAAGGTTATTAGATTAGCTGCATGAAAATGGAAACATTTAAAAATCACTAATCTGAAAATCTTGGTCTAATACTTTGTTGTTTGCTTGTAAGTTTCAGCTCTTTTAAGTAAGTCTAAGTAATTTTTTCTTTTTTCATAATGGTAGCTGTAGTGATTTGAGTTCTTCACAGAAAGAAAAAGGAAAAGAGCCACTTCAATTTGGACTAGTTTTCTCCTCTGAGACAAAACAGATTCTTCAGAAATGCCCTTTTCTTGTAGGAAGATTAACCAACCTCAGAGCTCTAAATTTCTGTTCTCTGTTTTTCTAACCGAGAGAATTAATTTGGTCCTCTCCTTTCTGAGGTTTTCTGCAGCAAAACTCTTCTCCGTAGCATTCTTAAGGAGTGTCAACACCTTTTATCTAATACTGTAATGAGCTATGTATGTTATCAGTTCAGTCAACATGAAGTTAAACTTTAGCTGGCTTTATCAGTGGTTTTGAAGGCTTAACTTCTCAAAGGTACAAAATCTTTACAACAGAGGGAGAGGGGGAGAAAGAGATCAGGTCATTATTTTCAAAGTCAGTACTTAATAGTTTCAAAGACAGAGATTAGAGGTAGCGTTTTTAATTGAAGAGAACATTATATCATAAAAAATGTGGATTTCCAGCATTGATTTCATTAATACACATGTTGAGTTAAAAATTACTAGCGTCTTGGCAGGAGATTACATTTCAGTATAGCTTCTAAAATAAAGAGCTTTTAATCATTTAAAAGTTGATTAGAATTATATTGTACATATTTATAAATATTTATGCATATATTAACAGAATCCTTCAAATAACAAAATTTGTGACTGGCTTAGATGCATCAAGCTTTTTTATTATGGTGATCATAATGGTGGCATTAGTAGGACCAGGAGATAAGGTATGACTGTAACAATGATGTGTTGTAATAAATTGTGTGGCTATTGTGACATGCTGCGACATGACAGCTTCTCAAATATATTGTACCCAGAATCTTCCACTGTATACAGAGAAACATGCAGCAGAGTAATCTACTCTTAAGGTTGAAAGGGTAAAGTCTTAACGGTTTCTAAGAATTTTCAGCATCATGACAATTCACTAAAAATTAATTCTTGCCGTCTGACATGGGTTTGTCTGACATGAGTTTTTTGGCTTTCTACACCTTCAGGCATGTCTTACTCCTATTTTCCTTAATGGGATTCCTGATTTTTTTCTAGTTTTTGGTGTTGTTTCCATTTTTTTTCTTCATTATTTATATCATTCTAGTGTAGGGCACTCCTGATCTGCAACTGTTCTGGTCTGTGAAAATATTTTCGAAGAACAAGATGATTACATGTAGCCATTTCCATCAGAAGATTTGCTTAAATTGAATTCTTCACAATTTTCAAAAGCTAACAAATTAGGAGCCTACAGATTAGAGTCGTAACTGTGAATTAGTAACTCAAATGCAAGGAAGTGCTAAAATTATTAGATACTTTACTACAAGAGCATTTTCTAACTTTGTTGCACAGAAGTATTTGCAGATCAGCATTGCTGAATACTAGAGAGCTTTTTTACATATTTTATTCATCGTATCCTCAGTTGTGCTTTTGTATTGCTGCAGTAAAATTCTGTGCATCAAACAAGTTACTTTCATGTAGCAAATGTGGTGTACTATAGTTATTCCTTCAGTTTTTATGGGTAAATGCAAACTGAGTGAATCTTTTTTTCCATGTGTACTCATCAAAAGATTCTTAGCAGATGTTCAAAAGAGGAAACAGTTCTATTGACAGTCTTCAGTAGCATTTCTTATAAGCAAGAGCCAATGCAGTGCTTCTGCCATGCGTTGTCCTCCATAAATATGTCAAAATGCCATGTTAATTCGTCTCCAGGCAGTGATTAAAAGTCTCATTAATATTATTCTTATTAAAAGCAGCTACAGCATTTTTAGTTTAACACTTCAGTATGGTAGCTGTTCTCTGCTCATGTCTCCTAGTTAAGTGCAAGAATCCTTTCTGGTAATTCCATGCTTAAGTGTGAGTAATCTCAGAATTAATGAAATGCATGTAGTTATCTGATAGATCCTTATATAGGTTCCCTTAGATGCTCTAACCTTAAATGGGTATAAAAAGAACATTTACTGTATGTCTTGCAAAGGTACAGGGTTTTAAAATTTAAAGCCACAGTATACATATTACCTCAACATCAAAACGTTAGAAATTTCAGTGCAAACAAGCCACTACTGGCCCTTTTTTGGAGGAAATGTTAGAATATGAGAAAAACAGAACAGTGGCCAAGGGGACTGGGAGGTGGAGCAGGTGATAACAGCAACTAGAATTACATATTTTGGAATCTATAAAGTTGACTCTAGATCACTGAAAATGTTGTATAGTCTAGAATCACTAGAAACTTTTAAGAATAATGGAGCAAAGAATGTTCTATTTCAAGCTTTTCCAAGTACTGTAGGAAAGCTGCATATTTTGCCTTTTATTTTTTTTGTCTTTTGCATCTCTTAATGTATTCAATTAAATTCAAAATCTTAATCAACTCCAGGTTATTCCTAAAACTCCACTATTTTTAGGTATATACTTAAAACAAAATTATTCTTAATAGTAAAATAAAGTTTGTTTCCAGTTCTGTCATTTAAACTACTAAAATTTCTGTGTATAATTTCATTTCAAATAAAAACCCCCGTAGTCTTAATGGGAGAGTGCATTCACTTTATGGTTTAAGCTTTGCTACATGGAGACAGCTTCCTCTGCTGCCAGCATGTATTTGCTTCGTTTATATCTGTCCTCTGTTTGCCCTCATACTCCTCTTGTCCCTAGAAGTCAAAATGTTTGGCAGTATCAGCTGATTGTAAGAATGGGAAAGGAGTTACAACTGTTTCCCAGAATAAGCAGTGAAAAGCAAGCAAGAAAAAAAAAAAATGAAAAAAGGGGTGTGGGGGGGTGGAGGTAGAGGGGGGAAGACCCCAAAACCTTACAGCGAGTCCTTGTCAGACAGCTTGAAATTTTGATCTAGCTAACTTATGTCCAGTGAAACTATGGAAAATGTTCACCAGTTTGCTTTCAGACCAACTCTGCTGCATGTGTTCATAAGTTCCATGAAGATTGCATGCTTTCTGTTAATACAAACTGTATATTTTTTTTCACACCCATCCTTGCTTTTTATATTTTATTTTTGTTTCCCTTGCCTTGGTTGGATGCCTGTGTGTGTTTAATCCAAATCCCTGTCCAGTCCTGGAGTTTGAGCTGCGGAAAGCCAAGGAGACCATACAGGCCCTCCGAGCCAACCTGACTCAGGCTGCAGGTGGTGTACATAAACCTTTTCTTAAGTCTCTACTTCGAACAACGTAGAAGTAGCTGAGCTTATCCTGTGTGAAAGAGTAAAATCTAGTTACTTTTTTTTCTTTCCCAGAAAATGAAGTTCCTTTGCAGGAACGAAAAAATTACAAATCAAGTCCTGAAATTCAGGTAGGTGGCTGGTGTTAACTGAGCTTTGCATGGACTTTACATGACAGACACACTTCTGTAGTTGGGAGGGAGATGAGCCGAATATGTAGTGTATTGTTTTCTTGTTTTTTTTCCAGGAGCCAATCAGACCTCTTGAGAAAAGAGCTCTAAACTTCCTAGTAAATGAATTTTTATTGAAGAATAGTTACAAGCTTACATCAATAACATTTTCAGATGAAAATCACGATCAGGTAAAGATTTTCTTGTGGTGTTTTTACATGCATGCTTTCCATATTCTGATCTTGCCAGAAACTCAGGTGAACTTAAATGATATGTCTTATGCATGTAAGTTCCTTTCATACATACAAGTATGAAAAAAGTTCAAATAAGTTAGCATTTTCACGTAGAAAGCCTGGTTTGGAAACAGCACTTGGAGGAGTATTTTCTCAAATAGGAGGGAGGCAGAATGCATGTATTCTTTAAAGGAAGAAAAACATGAAGAAAAATAGTGTGAGTTATAGCTACTTACATGCTTTCCTGGATTCTGACGGGGACTCCCTTTCAGTTAAACTCAGGGATCTGGGTGTAGTAAAATTTTAAACATAATCTTTTCCTAAAATCTTTCTCAGTTGTGCAGGATATACAATATACTCACTTATTGTTATCTCCTGCATATACATATGCGTATGCATATACTTAGTCATACTGTGGCTTTGAATACAATAGCAGGGAAGCTCTCAGTAATAAGGTTTTATATTAGATATTTCCAAACATAGCAGTGTTTTGATGTGCTTTTCTTAAGATGATTAGTTTTATGTCTCCTTTGATTTGCATTTCATGGGGAAGAAATTCTTCAAGTGTTTGGAAGTTTCTAATTACATCTTGACTGTTACTGAGTGAAGAAAACACCCAGTAGCATCAACACCCAATATATATTCAGCACAAAACTAGAATATTGCCAGAAGAATTAAATGTTGAACTCAGTAATACTAAATTTCAACCAGTTCTGTATGTAACTGGTCCTCCTATATTTTTCCTGCAATTCATATCCTAATCCATAAGGACACTGGGTTGTTAAATAAGATTCTTGGACCACCCACTTCAAGATTTGAGTTTGACACTGCTAGGTTTCACACAAATACTTGTGAGGATACAGCCCCAAGAAGAGAAAAGATGAATAATTTATCCTTTTTATGTAAGGATAAATGAAACCTGATGAAAGTGGTTTATGTTGGGAGAAAATTAAGAAAAAAACCTAGGACAGCTACATACTAAACATACTTAACATACAGAATGCAATTTTTTTCCTAGATTATTCACATAATTCTGTCAGGAAAATAACCTTTCTTCAAATAGGTGTATGGCAAAATACAATGAAAACTACAAACAGTAGGGAAAAAGTTATAAAAAAAGTAACTGAAATTTAATGTCATTAGAGACCATCGTAATTCCTATATAATAGTGCATATGCTTATTTATTAATACAGATATGGAATAATCATGTAGTAATAAGATGGTAACATGTCAGGGAGAAAAGGACATACAATGTTGGTTTGAGACAGGAGGACCTAGTATTGTTTACACCTCTACACAATTAATATAGTTATGTCTAAATTACGTTGAGAATATGCACCCTATTTACAGAGTGGTTTGACTGTCTGCTTCTGGAAAATTACACCTATACTTGTGAATGAGTTTGGGAACAAAACTATGCTGCTATCTGTAGAAAGCCTTTTAACAGCTGCACTGGGTTTTGCTAGAATTTGGTGATGTTATATCTGATTTTAAAAAGTGTTCATATCCTAGGTTAAAAAAAAAAATTAAATGATTGTGAGCTATGTGTTTTTGAAAGGTCCTGTTGTTAGTACATTGGCTAGAGCTGCCTTTAGGATGAAACTGCCTTGGGTCCTGAAATGGCTCTTTTTTCGACTTTTGTTTCTTAATGCCTGATTTAAGCTTTCATCTGCTTTACTACAATGCAATCTCAAAGTGACTATTTTGCTGTTGTGTGACCTGCACTGTGATGAGGAAGAGAAACAAAAATAAAAGGAAGTGTATGGTATATTTTAGTTTCTTTTATTCCTTTGAAGGATTTTGAACTTTGGGATGATGTAGGATTGAACATTCCAAAACCTCCAGACCTGTTACAACTTTATCGTGACTTTGGAAACCATCATATTACGGCGAAAGATGTGGTGGATGTATCAGTTGGTGTAGATGATGATGAGTTAGAGGCTGCTACTCCTGTACTTGGGAGCATCCCTGTGTTTGAAACAACACCTCAGTCCATAGAAGTAAGAGATTGTACAGAAGAAATGTTTCAGCTGTTTGCAGTACTGCTAAGCTTCATTGGACTAAACTCTTTTGTTTCTATCTTGTATTTAGCAATGTTTAATAGTGCAAAAATTAGAAGATCAAATTAGTGTGTTAAACAGTGAGAAATGGTCTTTGATGGAACAAATCCAAAGACTTGAGAGGTATGTATTTATAAATCTGCTCGGCTGCTGTTAAATGTTGGAATAACTTCTCAGTCTTTTTCTAGCACATACATGAAAACTTACAATTTACACTTAGAAAACTACTTGGAGTTCTTCAGAGCAGGGCATTCTTTCCTCCTTCCAAATTCTTCCAAATACATGGGATATTTCTTCCAAATACGTGGGATTTGATTTAGAAAAGAGACTTCAGACTGACTATTTCCCTTTTATTAGCCACATTATTTAATTTTGTAATCAATTTTGTTCTTTCAGTGCAACTTACTGATTTCCTTGAAAACAGAATCAGTTCTGTTGTGTTTTGTGTCACTTAACTCTTAAGTTAGCTTTATTTCACTCCTTAGTGTTGGTAAGCTGTACACACTATAGTATTGTTTTAGTGACTTACTTCAACGCAGTTTTTCTTTATACAGAGCAAGAAAGTAGCAGTGAAGGTATCTTTAACAGCAACAAAATAGACTTTAAAAGTTTGGTCAAAACATAGGATTCTAAGCTAAAATATACCATTCCTCTTACGAGATGCACCAATACAACACATGAGCAAGTGTATAATTTTTAAGTGCCTTTATTGACTTGTATCATTACTCTTTCAAAGTCAGGTGAGATAATTCACCACTATAGTATTTTAAGTTTTATATCCCAGACAAAGTTCTGTCTCGTGACAGCTTGTGTCTCAGTGCTCAAATTTCAGTCAGAAGCAGATAACACTATTGTTATTTGTTTAGTTCATTGATTCACTCAGAGGGCAACATTATTCCTACTACTAATTACTGACTAAAGAACTCAGTTGAATAGGTGCTAATTTGAACAGCTTGTGTGATATAACATTTGTATCAAAGGAATTTTTGAGCTTAATGGAATTGGAGAGCTCTTTCATATGTTGGCCTGATTTCTGTGCTTCAGTCTTGTGATTTTAACAACCTTCTTGTGAAAGCTACAAAACCATTTAATTCTTTGCTTTTTCTTTCTTTAGCGAAATAGACTTTCTCAAGAATGAAAACTATGCTGTGTCAACAGTTTATGGTGTAGCTCCCCATCCTCCTTTAAAACAAGTGCCTCTCACAGTCTCAGAGGGCAATGGACGGTACTTGGATATCAGGAGCTCTGAGAATGACAGTACGCATGGAAACACTGAGGACACAAGCCTTTCTTTATCAGCTGCAGTGGATTCAAGGACTTCTAAAGATGAAACACTAAATTCTGTGCCCTGTAAGGAAACAGAGAAACTGTCCTCTTGTGCTTCATCAACAAAAGCTGCAGTCCACTTTGATAAACCTAATAGGTTAGTGACCAGTATTAAACTGGAATGCTTTAGTTAAAAGTTCTTATAAAATAGATATTTTTCTAACAGTAAAATTCTGCAGGATTTTTAGACCATTTATGTTTCAAACTGACTTACCGTTAGGGTACAGTGCTAATATTTTAATATTATTCCTAATCTTTTTAGGAGGCAGTACCTTTGATAAACCTGTATTTTTAAGTTTAAGGGTTTCTTTTCACCTCCTGCTTGTTTCTAAAACCAGTCCTGTATCTTGCAACAACAAAAAAAAACCCTCTAAATTCAAAATGGTGAATGAAAAAGCAGGGTATCTCCATTCTCTTTTAACTGTTAATTTCATAATGAAACTTCTTCTTTTCTGCATGAAGAGTGGTTGGGAGTTTGTTTGTTGTTTTTTTTTTATTTTGGGTACTCTAAGACCTGTATGATTTGACTTTTTAATAATCAATTATTAAAATGATGTATTTTTTAAAATAATTCTGCTTTCTGAGTTTTGAATTTGGGGCAAGTATTCATTGGACTGCTGTGACTCTTTTAATTAAAACAGGGTATTCTTGTTATTAAATGGAGACTGAGTTTGTGTGTCTGAGTATTCTCGAGAAAGGCTCTCCAATCTACACAGTCTTTTTAAGCAGTATAGTGAAGAGGGGAACCATGACACATGTTCATTTAATAATAGATAAACCATTGTATAGCCATCAGGAGTAATACAAAGCACAAACCTAGTGAGTGTATGTACAACTTCTAAAATTACTGTTGCGGACAAAGTTGCCCAAGTAGCTCACCTCATGGTCTTACTTTTGCTGTTCCCTGGGGAGCAAGTACCCATTCTGCTTTGTATTTTGCCAGTTAACCTTGGTGTTCTTTTACAGGTGTTGGTACAGTATTATGTTTTTAGAGTTACCTTCTATCTGAAAATACCAAGTAGAAATCTGTGTGATACTCTGTGCAGATGGAAAATCAATACAAGTGGTGAGATGATGAGGGATAAGAAACAAAGTAACTGCTTACCTCTGCTAGAAATTTACTTTTCTTGCAAAATAAACTTGTCTACCTACTTTCATCTGTGGCTTGCAGCAAGTTTCTTTTTGCTCAGAGTAATTGGGAATTCTGGGAGGCATTAAATGCGTGAATGTTAGATTGATGGTTTAGAAATAGTGAGGATGGGTATCAAAATAAGATGAGATCACTTGAGTGAGGAAGGAACTGTGAGTATCTCTGGTGGGATTTAACACAGTCTAGAAAAACAGAATTTGTTTTGTCACTCGCAAATATAGTCACTCATACATGGATTTATTTTAAAAGTGGTTGAATAAATCCTTGAATCACAATTAAGTTAACTTCAGAAGTCTCCTCAAATGCATTTCACTTCAGAAATAAATTAATGCATGCATAGCTATTTTTGTACTGAGTTTTGGGCTTAACATGTTAGTGAAGGGTCAAAGGATACCCTACTTGATACAGTGTTTTATAGATAGATATCACTACATTTTCTTCCGGAATTATGCACTTGGTTTTTAACAATGTGGTCATTTTTTGTAGTAAGAGCTATCTAAGTATTTTGAGATCTGTGGGAAAAGTAGCATGTTAGAAGTGCTGCATATTTATATCAGTCCACAGGTGGTTATTTATAGAAGACAATTACTATAATTTATTCAGAAAGTATTGAGAGGCATTAAAAGCTAAGACTCTATCCTAAAAGGCAAGATTGTTGCTACTGTAGCTGGGGAGTGGATTCTTGGAAGAAATTTTGCCCAGATGGGAGGAGAGGATAGAAGAGCAAGTGTGCCTGCTTTGTGTGCCTGCGCTCAGAGCAGCTGCGTGTGCATGCCTGTGAATGAGGATGTGGCCATCATTGGAATAATGCCATCTAACAGATTGCAGTAGGAAGCACTAGCAGGAGTTTCAGTAGACCATACCACATGTATTTATTCAGCTCATCTAAGGTGTTTGGTGGTTTGCACCAGTAACAAGGTGTTTTCTGTATATAGTAGTCACTTCTACCTTTTTCAGTAAATGGAGTCTTTTGTCCTAGTGTTACACGGAAGAGTGTGCTTGGGTTTCATGTTCATCAAATTTTCTTACACTTTAAAATCTTCTCTAGTGGCATCTATTAGCCTTTGAAAAGTCTTTCCCCTGACTTGTTTGCAGGAGACCTGGATTTATCATAATTTCTGCCCAGTGTGTAGCCATCAAGGATTTTACTAGACTTCTCCAAGGAGAAGCTTTCTTGTTCTAACTATAGCAGCAATTGAATGGGATCCATCCTGCCCAGAGCTTGCTATTAATTAACCTCAAGGGAGACACAGCAACATATCGTCATAGTTTTCAGTCTCTGCAAAATGGGGATAGAACTTTGGCCTTGTGTAGGATGTAATTAAAATTTCAAATGGGGAAGGATCTGAGGTTCAGCAGAGCAAACACCAAGGTGAGAGAGCCCAGACAAAGGACTGGCTAATGCCTTGCCACTCTCTTAACATCAAGCTGCTGCTTTGCAACACTTGCTCATGTTCTCCCAATGTAAACCTAAAAGCTTTGAATAGAGACTGTAAATCTGTCAATCGAGAATACTGTTACAGAATAAGGTCTAGGACGTCTTTAAACAGAGGTCCTCTGCAACTTGTTACCATCTAAGTCGTTCAGTAACTTTTTAAAAGTGAACCCTAGCAAAAGACCAATCTGATTGGAATTAAACTCATTAAAATTTAAAACATGTTTTAAAACTCTGTATTGTCAAGAAAGAAACTTGATTGTAAGTAATAAATTCTTATTTGTCATATTTTGTAAATGGAGGACAAAAATTACTTTGTATGTATCTGTGTCCATGTGGATTCATTTAAACAGTTTTAAGAACATGGATTCTTTACCTGCCTTTTTTTTTCTAGAAAAGAGTGAATGATGATGTCTTTCTAATAAACAGTGTATTAGATACAAAAATGTATCCATATGCATAATTGCAAGGGTGTAGGATTTTGTGTGCTCACATGTACAAAATAGCATCTTTAAAAGTTGAAAGGTGCTAACCACTTTACACCTGAGAAATAGGAATTGCCTATTCCTGTGCTCTCAAACTCATAAAGTGTGATTAGAGGACTCAAGCAGTACATGATGATACAGGGTTAGATGCTTTCTGTGAATGTTTTGGAAGACATGTTGTTTTTCCTCTTCAAGCATAGTGGATGAGGCAGTGTTAGATTAGCATGTATATACAAGCCTCAGATAAGGCAGGAGGGAGTTGTCATTATTGGGAAGAATAGAATGCTACTGGTGCTGCTGCTTGCCTGTTTTATGTAATGGTCAATTCAGTAATCGCTTTTTGAGATACGTTTCTGCCAAGTTATCCTCCTGTGACAAGGTTGTTTTGAAACACCAGGTTTTTTATGTGTATGCTTTAAGGCTTTGAGTAGCTTGGCTGTGTTGGCTGGTGCTGTGCATGGCTGTGCAGCAGTATAGTTCTGTAGATACACATTGACATCAGGGATTTAGTTTTGAGGTTATCACTATACATTTGAATCCACCATTTATATCCCAGAGTGGCAGTTGAGCAATCACTATTTAATCCTGAGGCTTGTGAGTGACCGACTACTCAGATGCTTTTATGCAATGTTCAGAATTGGAGCATTAAGCAAGAATACGGTTTCTTGTGATTTCCGCCTGCCCCTTCTCTGTTTGCATAATTGTATACTTCCTCTTGTAGTGCTGAAGCTTCCTCTTCTTCATGCTTCAGTCCTATTTACATCTGTGAAGTGGTCCGAAAGATGTTACATTTTTTGGAACTGAAAGTAACTTCTTAATTAGGATACCCACTTCTTCCCTTGTTACAAACTAAACATCCTAAAAGTCAAAGATAATTTTTAAGAAAAAATTCTGTGGTGTGTTTCACTTAAAATGTTTTCTGAATGTCATTTAACCTAGCTGGTTAAACCAGAGTGAAAGGAGTTGTTCAATCACCTATCTGATTTATGATTTCCCCTCCCTTTTTGACAATATTTCAGGAAATTGTCACCAACTTTCCATCAAGCACTACTGTCGTTTTGTCGGATGTCAGCAGACAGTCGTTTGGGATCAGAGGTAAATTTCCCAGTTGACGTAAACTGGAAGATGCATTATTCTGCATGGCAGCAATAGTTAAGCAATAATTGCTTTGAAACAGGATCTTTTAACATAGATGGAGAGATTAGTCTATGTGCATGAAACTTAAGGATATGTTTTTAGATTTTAGATTAAACATGAAACCTAGTGATGTGTAAGTACTGGGAAGCTTTGAGTATGTATAAGTGGTTTCATGCTTTTGCCGGTACTGCCAGGTCAAACTTGTGGCTTAATGTGTGTAAAATAAGTATTTTCTTGTAAGTGATCAGCCTGCTGCAATTCCTATTACTCTTTTGAAATGTTATTTTTCCATTTGTGTGCTCCATTTAAAACAGCACAAACAAACAAACAACTTGGTTTTCTAGGTGTCTCGGATAGCAGACAGTGAAAAAAGTGTCATGCTAATGTTGGGACGGTGCCTGCCTCATATTGTTCCTAATGTGCTGCTTGCAAAGCGAGAGGTGAGGAACCCTGGAATTTTACTTATTGTTTTTACCCAGATGTTTTCTCATTCATTTTGAAGATCTTGTGTCTAATTTCATGAAGTCTGTTACTTGCAATCATATTCTTACTTTTGTGCATGCATCTCTGCTCCTAGAGAATGGTTTTACACCTCTGTCAGGTGAGTTCAGTAAATCTGCATGATATCCTAGTATTTCTTCCTTTGCTTAAGGCACCCATTAGCATTCAGCAAGCCTGTTACTGTAGGTCCATCTTTTTGTGGTTGCACAAGAGTTTTTGTTAGAGAACCATGGTTAATGTGTGTTACAAAGAGCAGAGGATATAAGTTTAAACATTAAATTTGGTTTTAATAAGGATAAATGTACAGGTTCTTCTGCAGCACTAGGTACTTTAGCAAAAAATTATTTTACCATCTGTTTCTAGAAGCCCATGTTCATCAAAAACACCCCTTCATAAGAAAATTAGCCATCTTGCTTACACGTTTTCCTTAAATTTAAAACAAAGCTAAGGAAAATTATGAAAATGTAATGTATATTCTGATGTAAATGGAGATGGTGCATTGCATAATCATTCATACTATGTACTGTAGGAAGGGAAGACTGACTGAAGATGGGGGAAAAAAAAGACTGGTTTTGTGTTGCTTTGTTGTCAGTATTGCACATTACCAACTGTGTAAAAATTAAAAATTAGAAAATGTATCAATCAAAACTTCAGCAGCCTCATAGTTGACACTGAAAGAAAAGGTTTGAAGTGGCATAGCTTGTTGAGTAAGTTGCAGTCCTTGTTGAGGGGACCTACAGTATGGTAGACTTAGTAGTGTGTTTTGCATAAATTCATTTGAAGGCTTTGAAAAATCCTCAAGAAATTTGTACTGATCCAATAATTTAAAATTTTATAGCATCCAAGTAATTATCAGCAGTTGTTATGATGAGTTTGACATGTACCACATTTTGAAAACCTCAAACTTTATAAAAAGGTGGAATTTTTCTGAGGGGCTGTGAGTATGAACTGGGTGCTCTGGAAGTGATTCTGTTAATAGTCTCTCAGAATAATTCTGTAAATGTTCCTGGATCAGTGCTTAATTTCTGTTTTATTATTTTCCCTCTGCTTGGCAGGATGTGGTATTTTGGCTTCTTTTTAAAGCTTGTAGCATAATATATATAATGCATTTAGTATTTTTGTGACCTTTTAGGCTGCCAAAAATATTTCCTACTTAATTTATTTTACAGTTGAAGCTACGTTTGATTACACGTATTTTTGCCTTAAATGAATCATCTGTTTCAGTTTGACTGAAAAAAATACAAGTGAGAATTGTGTAACTGGATTTCATGGGATGCTTTTAATGTTTTGAGAGTTGAAATTTGCTTTAAAAATAACTTTCTTGGTTACCCATCCTTTGCTATAACTATTGTAATGTTCTTTCAGATGTAGTTGTGGAATTTGAAGGAAAACTGGGGTAAACCATCTGTTAATATTTATTAATATCCTTATTACAAAAGTTAGCCTAAGAGCTTGTCTCTTCCAAAACCAACCTTATCGTGAAAGAGTCTTGGCACAATTTTACAGAGAAGTTATGTAAAAATACAACAAACTATCACTGATTTGAGAAAGATACCTAACAGGTTCACTTGGTAATGCAAAGTGATTGCCCATCTGCTCTGAAAAGATACAGTGGTAGTATTTAAGATTGTACACTGTCAGTCTTAGACATGAGAATTAAACACGATTTTGTGATGACTCCATAAAGTACTATATTTGTTCTCTAAGTATTCATTGTGTTGAAATTAGTTGCAAAATCTTAAGCTGAAAACTATACTTATGCTATACATTTTCAATTTGGAGAAACTAGAGGTTGACGCTCACTCAGCAGGTATTGTCCTTTACCAGAGATTCAGAAGCCCTTTCAGCAATGCTTTTAACCTGCTTAAGGTTACTAACAGAATGCCTGATTTGGTGATAAGTGGTCTGGTAAACATTACAGATGATACCTGAGTGATTCGGTTAGTGTCAGAATTACTTACGCATCTCTGAAATTCTAAGTTATTTTTATGTATTGCTACAGCTTTAATTGTACTCCAGTGTCTGTAGTTTAGGTTCCAATGGAAGATAACAAAGAAGGAAAACCACAGTATTGAATAGGGTAGCTGAGGAGATCATTTTAGTAGTTCCTGGCAGAGCAGTTCAATAGGGTCAAATCAATAATGCCTAATATAGGATAATTGCCTGAAAGCAATTTGTAGTCATTAAAATTCCAGTTATCAACATATAAATAGAATTTTGTTTTTATCTAAGTGTCTAGATTATCCTAACTGCTTGAGAACATGTCTGTCAATGTTTAGATTGGTATGTGAATATACTCGCAAACAAAGGAGATACTGCAAGCCAAACAGTAACTGGAATGAACAGTAAGAAAACGCTAAAAACTTATTTTGACTCTTCAAAAAAAAAAACAAAACAAAAAACAACTAACACCCATTTGGCTGCATGTGCAGTCTGTGATAATAACACTTCCTCCATATGAGCAGCTTGATCATAGAGTTTCATCTGCATTGGAATCTGGATCCTCATTTGTGTTTTTACCACTTAAAACACATTTAAGATTAAAAAAAATAAAATCAGCCACCCTCAAGATGTAGACCATAAAATCATTCCTTTAAAATTAAACTGTAATTAGAGGAAAGCAGTCTTTTTAAAATTTTAGCAATACTGATTTCTCACCCTGTATAAGATGCATAAAATTAATCTCTTTTTTGGCAGGTAACAAAGTATAATGTTTGTATGTACAACTTCCACACTCTGCAGTATGTAGTCTTTTAGCAGAGTTTGGGCTAGAGTAAACTTGCTGCTTTAGTATCAAGTTTTTGTTACTCTTTATCTAGAAACACTTTTCCTTGCCTTTCATCCCACCTTTTATTCCAGATTTAGTTTCTGTAACTTTCATTTGTGTTATGCAGACTTAGCAAAATCACAGCAGTAATGGTTTACTAAATTACACCACTGATTTATATATATATATATATACACTGAGAAACTGTAACTTACATAGAGCTCAAAATGTCAAGATTAGAGGTTTGCTTTTATTTCTGTTTAAAGTTGAAGCAAAGAATGCTGAATCTACAAACTCTGAATGGGTGATATTGACAGCAAGCAATGCTGTAGATTTAAACTTGTTCACTTTAACTTGCAGTATTTACACATAGACATCACTGAGGCGCTTTTATTCTCTGACATTTTTCATAGGTAGCTATTTCTTAAAGCATGGTACAGCTGAATATCTATCTTACTGAAGATTTTCATCTCGGTCTTACACTTTTAAAGCCGTAAAATACTGGCTTTGTTAAAAAATGTAGAAGAATGCTGCATCAGAGCTTGGCAGTGGCTGTTTCCAGTGGCTTTGTCAAGCAGATGTCATTCTGGTTGTATATGGATAAAGGTATACAAATTTGAGTTTCTGGGCATGAAAATTGTCCTCCATCAGTATCTTCTAAATGACTGTTTCTATTTCACAGAATAGGAGAAAATGGAAAAACTTAAATGAACAGTTAAAATACTTTGTGTTGCTCTGTAAAGCTTAGATTGTGGTAGTCTTCTACAGATTGTGTTTCCGAAAACAGGGATAGTGTTGATCACAGCAGGTTTGCTGGTTCTCTTTCTCATGTAATTGGGGTGTTGGTTTTGGCTCAGGGGGCTATTTTTTGGGGGGGGGGGGGGTAGAGGTGCCCCAGGCACACGAAACACAGACATAACCATTTTTTTAACTTAGGTCCTTTAGTTCCTTTCTCTGGATGTGAGGGGCTAATGTAATTTCCTTAGAATGAAATGGCTTAACCTCATAGAGTATCCTTTCCATTTCTAGTCTGAAAGCTGACTTTGACACCATGTCTTTAAATATAACATGATTCATAGATGCAAGGAGTTTAATGCTTAAATTGTGTTGCCAATCATTACTAGTTTTATCACAGTGGTGTTATAGGCAGTTTCCCAAATAAACAGTAGATACAAACAAAGAAGTACGGGTTTTTTTTCCGCACCAATATCTACATTGATTCTTATGTAAAATCACCCCTTTGGGGATCAATGAAAGGCTTAATTTGGATCCTGGAATAGTAGGCTGATATTGTGAAATTAATGTAATTAGAGTTGTAATCTTAATAATATTGGTTAGCACGAAGTTCTGAGTCATGTTAATCTTACAGTTAAATACTTTTTCATTTTAGGATTAAAAGGATGAATTCTAAACTTACATTCTTGCACAAGATACTCCATATCAGTAATGTGTTAATATCTGCAGCCATTTCAGTTGCTACAGATTATTTATGTTATTTACTTGTCAGAAGCTCTGTTACTGAATAATTTTTACATGGAGAACATTAAAACGGGATGCATTTGCAAAATCAGTCATAACTGTGTCCTAGTTTATATATTAAATTGTCACCCGTTTGCCATATTTGAGATAAAGATTACTATTTGAAGTAATGATAATGCTGACTATCTTAAGCTATTGAAGTAACCATTACAAAGCCACCTTTTGACCATAATGAATAGCTGCTCCATATGCCCATGTGCTGCCTTTATTGAGAACTTGAATCAGCTCAAATAATGAATCCTTTTCAAAGGTAACAGAACATGGTTTAAGTTAGAGAGAAGTTGTTCAAAATTACTATGGTGGAAAAAATATTTTCTCTTTGGAGAGACATAGGTGGACATTTCCACAATAGTAGAACAAATGGGCCATTTAAGTTCTGTGCAATACATTAGATCAGCTTCGTAGTATAAGTTTTCCGAGGGAAGTGGTAGTATTACCATCCCTGGAAGTGTTCAAAAACCATGTAGATGAGGCTTCCAGTGATACGGTTTAGTGGTGGAATTCACAGTCCTGGGGTAATGGTTGGACTTGATGATCTTAAAGGTCTTTTCCGGCCTAGTTGATGCTATGATTGTCCATTGCTCACCTCTATGTAGCTTATGTCACAGTATAAACTGATTTCTTCTCCCAGTTCTGCATCTGGGTAGCTCACAGATATAAACTAACTTGCCTTTTCAGTGGCAGAGGTGAGACCTCTGACACACAGTGCTTTATTTCATCAAGTTGCAAATGCTAACGAGGTTACAGTGGCAGTCTGCTTGGCATCAAATGGGAAAACAGTGTTGCAGTTCTGAAAGTCACTCCTCCTGGTACTGTCCCCTAACATCAGCATGAACTAATAAGTTTTCCTAGGTAAGAAACAAAAGGGGAAGAGTGGTACTTGGGGATGAACAGAACATTTAGGAAGGATTAAAATTAAATGGAGGATTGTTGGCTTTTTTAAAACTTAACGTTCTTGCTTTACGATTGTCAGCACGAGTGGTATTCCTTCCCAAGGAAGGCAGTGTTTCAAATATCACTGGAAGTTCTCTTCCTGATTATTAACAATTACATACAGTCTCCATAACAATGTTATTTACTTTCCTCTTGAATTTAAATAGCCAAATGCTAATATTATTGTGTCTTATTGGAAAATTACCACTTCCTACAGCACTTTTCTGCTGGTTTTGAGAATTGAAAAAAATCTGAGACTTACTGAACAAGTTACATCTAAGGCATGGTAAGAGGAAAGAATGAGCTCAAACCTGCCTATAGGGTTTTGTTTTTTTTTTCTTAATAATCCTGAACATCCCAAGAAAAGTCTGTCCACTTACACCTTTGAGAGACTTAACTTGACCTGTTTTCTCCATCTGTGAGAGCAGTATAATTGTTCTTGTCCCACAGAAAGTCCCTTTTCCCTCCACTTTTACCTTCCTGTTCATTAAGTCTATAGGCAGTGCATAAAACACTGTTCAAGACTTCTCACTGTTTCTCCACTCCCCTTAATAGAAGGAACTGTAGAAGCACTGATGCAGCGATGCAGAGAACATTCACTGCTCCCATAGTATGCATGAAAGAATGTGACCAATGGACAAGAAAATACAGCTAATTTCATCAGCTATAATAACCAGCTTTCTGCAAGGTAAAGAACCAGCCTTGTATATGCCCCGTCAACTGTGTTAGGTTATTCATTAGCCTTTCACACACAAGGCAGTAGTATTGAGGTGAATATTCAGAGGTGTTTTCCTTTCATTAAGACTCAGCTGGGAAAAGACAACTTGAACTTCCTTCAATTTGAAAGGCACTGTTTCAAAAATCTAGTAGTGATTCTGAGTAAGCTGTTATGATTTCTGAGTAGGTACTCAAACTTACTGGGAAAATGAAGTCAGTGTGATGGTTTCAACAGATGAAACAAAAAACCCAGACCATAAAAAATAGACATGTCCAATTTCATGGGGTAATTCTTTTTTATTTTAAACTCTTTGTAAGAATAGTTGCAGGAGCAGTTGGATAATGCAAACTTAGTGGAGATTTCAGAAAGATAGATCTCAAAATACTGAGAAATAGATAAGTCCAAACTCTTGAAATGTATTGATTATTTTTCCTTCTGTACTTTCAGATTTTTTAAGTGGTAGTTAGGGTATTTCCACATTCATTCCTCCATCTCATCATAAATTCCCTAACCTGTATCATAATTTGGTTAAATGTTGCCAAGATATCTCCCAGAATGTTAAAATGCACATTAGGATGTACAGGGGAGAAAAATAGTGTGCTGAATAGAATCCTTGTAAAATGAAAACAAAAGCTTACCAGGAGTTGGCTAGCTTAGTACTGCTCTAAAATAAAGTGTTGTTCTATATTTAAAATAAACAGCACTTGCTGTTTAGGAAATTACAGGTTGAGCAGTGAGGGTGTCTTTAATGCTGTTTCCACACGTCCGCCTCGTTTCGTAGGCTTACTGTCAAGAACATTATGAATAGGTCACTTTGAATACCTGCAAGAAGAAATTGTCCCCTCCCTGCAAAGTTATTACAAATAATTACAGGTTTTCCCAGGTTTCATATGATCTTTCCTAGTAACTTAAGGGGTGTTTCCCACTTTCATCTACGTGATTGTCACGGCTTAAATTTTCAAATTCACAAAAAGCTTGCCACATGTGCAGGTGGAAGAGGAAGTCTCCAAATTACTTGCCCATGTTTTGTTTGCAGACACCTAGATTTGTCTTGTTTTTTCCTCCTGACCTCCCAGTGTGATGTTTCTGCCCCTAAAATATTTAACTGAATTTGGAAACTACATGATTTCTAAGAAAAGGCTCACTACAAAAAAGTTGAGGAAAGGGACTTCCAGTTAATGTTCCAGAAACATGTGTTTCTTCTGGGAATGAATACCATGACCTTTGAATGCGTGTTTTGAAAGGAGAGGAGGTCTCCATCATTGTGAACAGCCTTGTATTTTCTTTCCGTTAATGTTTTACATAGTAGTTTCTTGGTAGTTTGTTCCTTAAGGGAATTGAATTGCTCTAAATAAAAAATAATAAAAAAAAAAAAGTTTCAGCTTCAGATATTGCTGCTTCATTTTTAAAAAAACAAACACCAGAAAAACCCCCACAAACCCAACAACAGCAGACCTTTAAAAGAAAAAAAACACATTGTTCTCAGTCAACATACAATAGAGGCTATCTAATGCCACCTTTACCAATGTATGTTTCTCAGTGCTTATTCAAACTTGTGCACAAAACTGTGTACATGCTTAATTAGAAATTTTAATCTTTAACTCCATGCTATCACAAGTAGCTTTTTCCATAGGAACTTTATTCCATAGATACATGTGAAGCTTGCTTTAGTTCAGTAAGTAGTGAAGACAATTTAAACCATGATTATTCTCTAATTCTGGTTACAGGTGACCTGCATTTGGTAATTGTAATCTTTGCAGAGCTTTTTCTTTTATGTGCTGGTTCTCCCCTTGTCTTTCCTAGCAGGAAAATAATCCTAACTTTTGTAGACCTTCACTTTTTTCAGGTCACTTAATAAGAGATCAAGACTCTAAAAACATCTTCTCTTAATGTTTTGATACTATGTGTCTAGATTTATCTTCTTAGTTTCTTTTGCCATTAATGAATATATCCCCAAAGCGTTTTTACTTTGTTTGGTTTTCCCCTACCCACAATTTTTTAGGAATTGATCCCACTCATACTGTGTACAGCCTGCCTCCATCCTGAACCCAAAGAGAGAGATCAGCTTCTACACATACTGTTCAATTTGATCAAACGACCAGATGATGAGCAAAGGTGTGTTTGCGTTTGTGTGTTGCGGGATAAGAAGGAACTTGTTTTTCTCTGTCAAAGGAGCAGAACTAATAGGAACTGGATATTATCAGATGATTTTAACCAAGTTTCACTTAAACTGATATTTTGTTGGTATAGTGTTGACAAATTTATGTGGACTTCAGGGCTTTCCATTTCTATGACCTGTACTTTCTAGTTACTGAAATGTAAGAATGCTCTTGCTAAGCTGCAGCGTAACATTTCAGTTCCTTTTTTGTTTAAACTAAAATGCTTTGTTAAAATGAGCTTTAAGGTCATAATTTTTAGCAATGGTTGATACAGAAATCAAAACAGCTTCTCTTAACTATGATATTCAGTTGGGGAAAATAGCATGAGAAAGTAGTATTCTTTCTTCTTATGGTCACTGCTATGCTGGCAATAAAAAATCAGAAGACTGAAGCAGTGGTTTAGTTCTGACAAGCGTTAAGAGCTTTGTTTTGTTTTGGTTAAGACTTTGAAACAAAGTATACTTTTTGTTTTATAAATTTAGTTCTTCCTTAGTACTCAGGAAATCTAACATCTTTGTACTGACTTGATAAGAGTATCCTTAAGGTTGAAAGACAGTACCCTAGCTGGTATGTTTCCTTCTCTAACTATGGAAGGATTTTTTCATATTTGATCTAAGGGTCTTCCATTATTTTCATTAGAAGTGTTTTGTAAGCATCTCTATCTATTGTTGCTCTATTCTGTCTTCAGACAAAACAACCATTATGGAATAGGTTGAAAGCATTTCTTTTGAAGATTTTCTGAAGTGTTCTGGTGTCATTCTGTTGTATCTACATCCATCAATCGTGTTCCCATTGTAAAGTTTAGAGATGAGGTACAATTGAAAGACATGGCTCTGGAGACAAAAAAATGCATAAACAGAGCTTGTTAGCACAGTGGCACCATGTATACTGGAATTACAGAAAGATACAGCCCTCATTCTACTTCATACTCATTAGAAATCTGCTTCTGAAGCATCTACTATTATCTAAAATGTTTTAAATGTCCCATGCGCATTGAGAAGCTACAATTACTTTGTGGTTGAGGGGAGGAGGAAATTAGATCTCTCCTTGTAGCTTCTTGTAGTTAATTTGTCACAGTGTTGGTGGCCTCTCAAGTAGTTTTCATATGCCTGTTTAGCTGCAGTTAAGTGTGTCTTTTCCAGCAGCTAATGAAGGAGAAAAACCAAGCTTGTTTTTCCTTGAAATTTCCTTCTTCTTGCTTTGTTGTGATGTAGGCTTATATCTAAAAATAACTCATTGTCATCAGAAATTTGAGAAGAATATTCTGCCGTAATCTCTGTGTTAGGAGATTATGCAGGACGAACATTTACACACATAAAAATCAAAATGTATTTTAAAGGTGACATAACACCTAACTGAAGAATAAATAAAATTCCATGAAGTAAAATGGATCTTGAATACAAAGTTAGACAAAAAATATTTATTCAGAATTTCAGTTGTGGTCTTTTTATATATTTGCACAAAGTCTATTGTGCGTGGTTGCTTTTTATCTAAATAAGTTTAAATAATATTTTAGCAGCCTTGCGTGATACGAAGTAAGCAAAGACATTCAGCTTCAGTCACCAGAATAATGGTATTAATTATTGCATATGTTATTTGTTTATGTTCTGCTATACTGTACAGGCCTACATTATACATTAAAGTAGCAGTGGATAACAGGTTGACTTTTTTAATTTGTTAAATGCGAGAGACTGAAGTATGACATTGCAATTCTAATAATGAACCTATTAAAGTAAGTATTTTACTTTAAATATATAACTTTGCAAACTATGTGAACAATTATGTGGAAAGCCTGTATTATAATTCTTGCCCGTGAGAGGCTTTTTGATGCATGCAGATACAGCAAAGGAACAAATACATGTTAGCTTTACTTAAACATCTTTTGGAACAATTATATTGGGTTTGGACACTAAGGAGCTATGAAAAAGTCCAATTAATGTTAAAGTCTTTTGGACAAGGTTAAAATGTAGTTCAATTTGTTGAATAATCTTCAACATTTCCAAGTAATGTACCCTGAAGCAGCACTCTTGCTGAAAAGAAGCTAAAACATGTTCAGCTTAGTGTATCTAGTATGAGTTTTCAGCAGTCGTATGATGTCTCCTCCTTTAGAACACTCGTAACTTGCTGACTTAAGGAAAACTCTCGTGAGTTCTTAATTTAATCTTTAGGGGTAGCAGAAGAATCTTGAACTGTGTAATGTAAGATCTGAGTTGCCTGCAGTTAATTTCTAAAACCTCTAGAGTTTAGGAGTGTTAAATTATATCTGTTCTGCTGTAACTTCTGCCTTATTCCTGTAGTCTGATTCTTGATTCTGCTTCAGTTTCTGTAGTGATGAAGCAAACTATTCTGCTAAATCATAGGGATTTACTTTATGTTCTTGCCTAGGTGATCATAAGTGCATATCCTGGTGAGAGCTGTTTGAGAAAAGCATTCCTAGCATCTTGTTAACAAACGGGGTCATTACGGCAATAAAGACAAAAATATTTTTCCCTTGTCCAGCCTAGACTGCAGTTTTTGCAATAGCTTAGCATTAATGTGTTTTGCTTCAATGACCTGTGCTGAGATCCTTACAACCTTCCCTTCCTCTGAAATACCAGCTGTTGCCATATACTTTCAAGATGGTTACAGATGCCCAGTTCTGCGATTAGGTGCAGGGTGTAGAATCAAAGGCAGGCATTTGGATAACTATTTTGTTTGTTGTAGAACTTGAAATTACCACAAGCTTTTGTCTCCATACTGCTATCATGCATCAGCTGTTGATTTCTTGAGTCATATCTAATCACTGCATTCTTGTTTCCCCCAACCTTTTTACCTTGATCAAAGGTCTAGTTCTTTGCATGTGGTGGAGAGGTGGGGGGTAAGCAACAAACACAACACCAAAGAGTTTGCTCTGACTGTTTGCTTAAAGAATGCTGGAAAAAAATAAATCTGTTTTTAATTGACTGTTGCTCTTTGAAAAGATTCTGAAAGTGTTTGTTGTTGTTTTTTTTTTTTTTTATGGGTATTATGTAACTATCTAACAAATAACCAGCAGAACCTCTGCCTTTCAACCTTAAGAGCACACTACAGTAAATATTTAGGCGCTTAGACATGACACGAAACCAGATGCAAATCCCACCTTACTTTCTACAAAGGAATAAAGAACAAGTTCTCAGTGGTGTCCTAGTCTTACTGTGGAGGTGATAAAATGAGTGTCTTATGTCCATGTGTTATTGTTTGGAACTGGCTATTTAAGTATTTGTGTACACACTGAAAGTAAATAGAACCTGGTGCATTGCATGCAAAGTGGAGATCATTCCAATCCCATTAACAGGAGAAGTAGAAGTAAAAACTTAAGTAATTAAGTTAAAATACCACAAATTACAGTTAAGTACAATTTTATTGAAAAAATAAAAAAATGGTGCCTGTGAAATAAATGGAACAACAGTGATTTCTTGCAAACTTTGAGGAAAGTTAAAAAATGCAAGAATACAAATACAGATAACTTGTGTGACTGTAGATACTACTGACTGATTAATTTCTTCCTCTTCATAATGGGCTTCAGAAGGTTTCTGGTGAGAATGGAGTTCAGTATTTGGGGAGAAGTGACAGTAACTTACATGTTAGAATGTTGTAAAACCATGTCATAAAAGAATTTCCTTGTTTTGAACACTTTATTAAATCTCACAAATGCTTCTAAATAAAAGCAGTATGTGTACTTGACTAAAATACTGATAGTATGGTAGTATTAAGTAATTTAGATCCTTTTACTTCATGATGAATCATAATGTTCAGTAATGAAAATTAAATGATAGATTTAGTTAGTTTCCCATTCTCAGACATGAGGAAATCAGATTTCCAAATCTGAGCTTCTCAGGGTCTGGTTCATGGAGTTTGGCATCTCAAGTTTCTGGAAAAGGAATATTAAGTAGAAAGCAAGATAAAATCGTAGAATAGTTGGGTTGGAAGGGATCTTGATCATCTAGTCCGACCCCCCCTGCAATGAGCAGGGACAGTCATGGCTTTTAGTTTAAGATTTAGCCTTTAAGTCAGTGTGTATGGTGTGAAATTTTGACTGTAGATCATTACCTGTTGCCTGACAGCATCTACTTTTCCTAGCTTAAAGAATATATTCTATATTATAGAACTTCATGAACAGATTTAAGCTTTAAATTTATTTTTTCAGACAGATGATACTGACTGGGTGCGTGGCATTTGCCCGACATGTTGGACCAACACGTGTAGAAGCTGAGCTTTTACCACAGTGTTGGGAACAGGTAACTGATTATTTTGTGCTTTACACTAGAAATTTAGTTATAAAAGTTGAGTTTTACCTGTTGAGTGTGGCTTGTTTTGGTTTTCAACAAATGGCAGTTCAAAGTATTCTACAGAAAGTTATTTGGATGTTATTTCTCCTTATTATACATATGCTTTTATATAACATGAAAATGAACTCAAAAGCAGAAAATTTGTCGAAGACTATATGAAGATTCTAGTTACCTGCATATGTTTGTTGTATTGAAATGTAGATACACACATGTTCATCATTGTTGCCTAACCTGTTGCCAGGTAGGTGCCTTTATAGTTTGTACTGTCATTTCCAGACTGTTAAAAATCCATTTTCATGTAAAGATTTCACTTGATGATTTTTATATTGTATTAAGTCCCTGGAGCACTGTCCACATTTCAGCTAAATTCTTACACAGAAAATTAAAGATCAAAGTAGTCAGAAATAGGTCCCCTGTAGATGGGCATGATTTTACACCTGTAAGATCAGAATGAAGTTTACATGTGACTTCTAGAGCCACAGTGATGTTTTTCACAGGTATTCTAAGTTAATAGGAATAACTAACCAACCAAACTGAAATGTTCTTGCTACTCTTTCATCTGAGGCATAAGAAAATAACAACATGAGTTCAGGTGAAAATGCATGGTATTTTCCTAGCATAAGAAAGAAAAGGGAGTTCATCATTGCCTAAAACACAGTGAATATGACAGAGTGATAAGTTTTTGCTTTGATGGTACAGTCTTTCTGGCCTAATAATTCTCTACTGTTTCTTGCATAACACAGCCATCTGTGTTTCTCAATAAAGTCCAAGCTTAAATAGTATTAATGCTTTCTGACAATAGAAATACTTAGTATGTGCAGCATTTGTGCTTATGTGTGTGCCTGGTGTATCTGTAGATTAAAAGAAGTCCTCACGTCAATAGCAGTTGAACACAAAATAATCACATTTTTTTCTTAGACCTTCTCGAGAAATTTGAGCAGTGCTTAAAAAAGAACAGAACAGTCTCACCTCAGTAAAAGCATACCTTCACCATACCAGTTTCTTGCTAATTGATGCAAAAGAGAAGCAAGTCCAACTGTAACAATAGAGTATATCAGGCTGCCAAGCCATATGTCACCATTCATTTATTTAATGCAGTTTGCCAGACTTTGTTTGCAGTACTGAAAACAGGCCATTATTTTATCCATCAAAATACCAGCTGAATCAATCTCATTGTCATAAGACTGAGTTCGTAGAAGGAACTCAGATACCCGTAATTTTCTACCTTTTCTGAGTAGATGCCTTAATCATGAAAGCGTTCATGCAGTTAGTTTCCAATCAAAATCTTTGTACAGATGCAAAGATCTGGACCCTCAGAAGATTGAGCATTTTCATCCACACGGTCTGGAATTTGGAGTTATCGGCTAGTCTTTGTAATCTTTTTACCTGCTCTTTGCAGGTGAAATTTGGTAGCTGACTCATCCGAGTTTAGATCAAGGCTCTATGAATGCTGAAAGTTCCCTCAGAACTAGTGACCAGTTAATTGGCTTCCAAGATTGTACTACTGCTTCTTAAAGACAAAAGGAAGAGAAATTGTAATAAACATTAGTTCTGTTTAGGTTTCCAAAGGCTAATAATCTTCCCTAAACACAAGCCTTGAAGAAACTTGAGTCTTGACACTCCAGCATGTTAGTGTGTCTTCACAGTATCAGGGGTGTTATTTATACTCTCTTGCCAGTCCACCTGAACCAGTTAAAACAGGTCTTCGCTCTTTCTGTCAGGAAAGCAAAGCACCAAAAGGCAAAGTGTGTCTCTGTTACCAGTAGGGAATTTGCATTTGGGAAGATGGCACATAAGGCAAAGATGCTACAGGTGTTAAAGCAGCCTGTTGTGCACCTTTAATATTTCTCATCTATGAAATCTCCATTCTTCCAAAAAAGGTATAGCAGGTGTTTACTGATGAATGGAAAACCATGATAGACATGCTCAAAGACTGTTCTCCAATGCCTGAGACTTCAGTTCAGTCCTGGGGCTTATGATTTTTGTCTTTTAAGTCTCTTTCAAATTATTTTTGCCACATTTTGCTCCTGAGATTTCAGTGATTCCAGATCAGAACAGTGAGAAAGTTGAAGGCATTAATACTACATCAGTGGTCAGGTAAAACTCACTGCTTATTGTGCTGTGGAAATAAAGTCAAGACAAGAAGTTGTCCAAAGTTGTTTTGTTACTCTATCTTCACCTACAGTTTTTCTTAAGCCAGTGGAATTGAGCAAATCAGAGAATGGCTGAGGTTGAAAGAGACCTTTGAATATCTTGCTGTCCAAGTCAACTTAAAACGGTCAACTAGAGCAGGTTGCTCAAGACCAGTCTGGTTTTGAGTATGTCCAAAGGTGAAAGCTCCGTAAGATCTGTGGACAACATGTTCCATTTGGCCAGCCTCCCAGTAAAATAGGAGTTCTTGTATTTCATTTCCTCTCGTCCTTTCTTTGGGCGCCTCTGTGTTCTTCACCTCTCTGCAGATAGGTACAGGTGTTAATTTTATACATATAAATAAGATCTCTTTTGAGTTCTCTTTTCTCAAGACCAAACAACCCTAGCTCTCTCAGCCAATCCCCATATGTCATATATCCTGTCTCTTAATCATCTTCATGTCTGTCTGCTGGACTTGCACTAAAATGTGTTTTTGTAGCTGGGAAATCCGGAACTGTACACAGCACTCCAGATGTGGTCCACCAGTGCTGAGTAAAGCGGGATAATCACTTTGCTTACCTGCTGGTGATGTTTATCTTGGTGCTGTCCATTGTTCTTCCCTGCTGCAAGGAGTGCATTGCTGACTCTGCTTAGTATCTGTCAGGCCCTCCATGTCTTTCTCTCCTAAGCTGCTTTCCAGCTGCTTTCCAGACTTTCCTCCAGTCTGTTTTGGTGCACGGAAATTTTTTTTCTGTTGAGGTTCAGGACTGTGCATTTCCCTTTCTTGAACTTCATAAGGGTCCTGACTGCCCATTTCTTCAGCCTGTTGAGGTGCCTCTGAATGGTAGTACACCTCTCTGGGCATATTATTCACTTCTTCCGGTTTTGTCAGTGGCATACCTGTTGAGGTGCATTCTATTTTGTCATCCAGGTCATTAATAAAGATGTTACACATCTTTGTTGTTGGCTTCAGAATCAACCCTTGGGGTGCACCACTGGGGACTGGCCCCCACCTGCAACTGTTTGTGATCATTTCAGCCAGTTTTCTGTCTCCCTCGCTGTCCTTACCTAGTCCAGACCTCATCAATCTGCAAATGAGGATGTTATGGGAAATGGTATCAAGTCTTGCTGAGGTCAGCATAAAAATATTCGCTCCTCACAGTTTGTTCACTGAGCCACTCATCTTGGCAGGCTGTCAGGTTGGTCATGCATGGTTTTTCCTAGATAAATTCATGCTATTCCCAACCACCTTCTTGTCCTTTGTATGTTTGAAAATGCTTTCCAGGATTAAATGCTCCAGCACCTTTCTAGCAACTAATGGCCATAGACTGGACTGTGTTTCTCTGAATCCTGTCTTGCCCTTCCTGAAGATAGCAGTGATGTTTGCTTTCTTCCAGTCCTCAGGAACCTCCCTCATTGCCACAGCATTTTGTTGAGTGGTCTTGCAGTGGCATCAGCCAGCTTGCTCAGCACTTAGGGTTGCATCTCCAGCATGGCCCACAGATCAGTGTACGTCCAATTTGTTTAAATTTTTCCTAATCTGATAGTTCTTTGCCAAAGTAAGCCTTCCTTGCTCCAGACTTTCACGTGTTTTAGGGATCTTGGACTACTGAAGACAAGTCTTCCCAGTAAAGGCTGAGACAAAGAAGGTAGTGAGCACCTTTGTTTTTTCTGTGTTAAGATGGTTGCCTAATCAAGGCTATGCACTGCATAGCAAGAGAGAGAAGTAATCTCACAACATGCATATCCTATTTTATCTGACAGGATCAAACTATTCGCATTTCCCTCTCACCATTTTAAACTTTGTTTTTGTTTTGTTGTTACGGAATATATTGAAACATGTCACATGTTTCATTGCACAGCCATTATGCTGCCCGTTAAACCTAACTCCATGGGGATGCAAACTTGGTTCCGAAGTGTCAATATTAAATTTGTAAGACAGAGTTTTCAAAAAACTTTTGAGTGGAAAGGGGAGGTAGCATGGGATCAAGAGGTTCTTGGGAATAGGAGCTGTTTTCAGTTACATTTTAGAGGTGTGACACATTTATGCTAGAATTGTGGGCAGAACCTCAATAGCGTGCAAGTACTTCTTGGCTTAGTATGTGGGTCATATTTTGACCTCAGTTGCACAAGACGGAGGCAGCTACACTGCACTGCTTGGCTTAGAACACTAGAGGGCACTTGTGTGATTCTTGGAGGAGTGATGGTCCTGAAGGGCTACAGAAACAAAATACTGAGTGACATGCTAGCTCAGAAGTTATGCATATTCTTTAAAGCAAAGCAGCCCATATGCTGCTTTCCACCATTCTTTTTACTGCGTATACATCCATGCTTCTCTGATTCTTCTCTTACTAGGAACTCTCTTTTATAGGACAAGACAAAGTCTTGCCTTTATGCCTCAATGCAACAATTTGAGACTGCTTAGTACCCATATACAACTTTTACAGGCATAGTCAGGGTTTATCAAAAAGGTGCAGACATATTTCTCTGTTGCAGTTCATTCTAACCACATTTTAAATGCTGGTTACTGCAAAGCAAATAACCATTCTGTTTCTCTTTACCAGATCAACCACAAATACCCAGAGAGACGGCTACTGGTAGCAGAATCCTGTGGAGCTCTAGCACCTTACCTACCAGTAAGTATCGATACTGCCTATACATACTTTGCTAGTGAAAGCAAGGTGATGTTGTGTGATGAAAACTTCCTTTATAATTTTAAATATTTCCAAGTGTGTATGTTATGCATAGGCAGTCAGTCTTCTACTTTATATCTCACATGTGAGATTCAGTAAATCACACTGAGGCAGTGGCTCACTGTAAAGGAATACAGGTCAATCTAGCTATAAAATGTCTTTTAAAACAGGATGTTCTGAAAAAAATCATCTTTGTTTCAGTGAAAATTAAAGATAGTTAGGACAAATAGGGGAAATAATCTAAAAAAAAAATTGGCATTCAATAGCAGAGTTCTTCAGACAGTGTGGAATGTTCCATGAGTACTTCTGTCAGTCAGAAACACCAGCAAAATTAAGTCAGTGGTGAGATGGAAGCTTCAGAGAAAGGGGAAAATAAAATACATTTTTAAAAAACCCAGGCACGTCTCCAATTTAGCAGTGCAGTGATTAAAGATTCTGTTTTAAGTCTAGGCCTATAGTAGTTTTTTGCTCCTAGTTACTTTTGGTTCCGTATGAATGAAAGGACCTGAGTTCTGTGCTTAGTAGGACAAAAGGCTTTCTAATGAGGCTACTGACATGTTATATTCATTCATCTTCTGATGTGGCTACTGTGACTGTAGTATTCATAAAGGGATCGATGACTGGAGGAAGGGATTTTATTTGTGAGCACTAATAGATGTGCAAATGATTTTACAAAAATTGATATAAACCCACATTTCTTCTTTCACTGGATTTAACAAGTATGTTTCTTGATTACAAACAGAAAGAAATCCGTAGTTCATTAGTACTTTCCATGCTTCAGCAAATGCTAATGGAAGATAAGGCAGATCTGGTACGAGAAGCTGTGATCAAAAGCCTTGGCATCATTATGGGATATATTGATGATCCAGACAAATATCAACAGGTATAATATGATTTGGGTTTTATATGTAGAAAATGTCTTGTATAATTATTTCATATCTTTCCTAATATTTCAGGAGATGTTGATGTGTATGTGAATGTTGATTTTTATTGTATCACCAAGAACAAAAAGAAAACACATACTTACAAGTATCATTAGAACCTAAGGTATAAGCATTATACAGAAGCTTCTCTAATAGTTAATAATTTGCTTCAAGAACATACCACTTAATTGCCCACATGATGCTGTTAGCTGGTTTGATATCATCACTTGCTAACAGATATTTGTCTGCTACAATAAAAGTAATACAACTTAATACTGCCCAGTAATGTTTCAGATAAGTGTGAAAACAAATAACTTCAAATCCTGTCCTTGAGTTTTTGAAAGCAGAGTGATAAAATGTGTTTGTACTGATTCTGGCAAGTTGACTGTAAAGTACTAGTAGGTTGAACCACCTACTGTTTACCTTTGTAGATGAGGTGGGAATACCTGTTCAAAGGCTTCATGTACTACCTTGTTTTATTTTTATTAGTGTAAAGTTTCAAAAATAGATTATCTTTTTTAGCATGCATGTTTTGTGTGAGAAACTTCAGTATAAATTTGGGGAAAATAATTACATTCTTTATTGTCTTTTGCCAGGGCTTTGAACTGCTGCTTTCAGCTTTAGGAGACCCTTCAGAACGTGTAGTTAGTGCAACACATCAGGTATTCTTACCTGCTTATGCTGCCTGGACAACAGAACTGGGAAATTTACAATTCCATCTTATACCTACACTGCTTAATAAAATTGAAAAATTGCTCAGGGTATGTGTTCAGCTGTTTCTACATTGGAGAATTTTCTTTGTGTCTTTATTATATATGCAGGCTTTTAAAAATATACAGAAAAGGTAAGTAATTGCTACCCAATGGGGGGGGGGAGGGGGGAGAAATTTTCTGGAGATTCTTGTTGTAACTCTGTAACTGTTACTTGTCCTTGGGAAGCAGGGAAATAAACCTAACACCAAAATTGCCCATACCAAACGTGGTCCTCTTTAAGAGCATTTTTGCCTTATAGCTTAATGGTCAAACTGCAGTTCAGAAAACGCTTGCTTGCGGCTGTGACTACATGATGTGTTACTCTGAGTGCATTTGTCCTTTATTTAAACTCGGTTTAAGTGTCACATAGTGTATTTTTTAGTAAAGTACAATATTTATTAAACAAAGTAGAATTGAATGGTTTAGTTAGGGTATTTGCAATTATGAGCTAGTTTGTCTGCATACTTGATATGGTAGATACCTGGAAAGGCCTGGAAAATAGGTTATCAACAGTCTAACACGCTTAACCAAGATGCTTGTTTTCAGAGTACAGGCAACTAGTGTATTTGGGTTTTAAAAGGTGTTGGTCTCTGACACCAAGGATTCCTGTTTCCAAAATGTGCTGGAAAATGTTCTTTCAGAATATCAGTATGTTCACTGATACGAACTATTAAATGCTAGAGGCTGTATTGCTTGAATCTTTAGAGTGGAAGTGACTGAAGGGTGACAAGGAGACTTGGATGGTGACACAATGTAAGCTTGCAGTAGGGATAAATTACTATATAATTAGTGTGTCTGTGTAGAAACTCATCACAGATTTGTTGATCTCTTGCCAGGCAATACATGCCTAAACAACAGATTATGCAAACTGAAAACTTTTAACTCTCCTGTTTCTTTCAGGAAGGAGAGCATGGCTTGGATGAACATAAGCTCCACATGTATCTGTCTGCTCTGCAGTCACTGATTCCATCACTGTTTGCACTAGTGCTACAGAATGCACCTTTCACAAGCAAGGCTAAACTTCAGGGAGAAGTACCACAAATAGAAGGTAAATTATTAATTGCTGGTATGTGGCATTCTTAGAAATTAAAGTATAATTCAACAAGAAATCTCAAACTACTATCAACTGCAAAAAAAAACAATTTCAGGAAGTAATCCATATTCTAGATTTACGTTGGGTTTGTGTGTATTTAAGGTTGCTACACAAACATAAGTTGTAGAATCTATGTGTAAAGTAGGTTTTAGGATTTTTTTTATAGCACACTGTACAATAAGGACTTGTGCCTTACTGTTTATGCCCCCAAGCCTTTTTTCTAATCCACTTGTTCTTTATGTTGTATTTTCATATATAGCAAGTACAAAGAAAGAGGCTCCCTGAATTTCTGTCATATTGTGATATTTTTTTAATAGATTCTGCACTTTAATCATTTAACTGCTTCAACCTTTATATACGAAGTAGATTTTGCCAGTCCTCACTCCCTCCCCAAGTCACTACTTAAATGAATTGTCAGAAGAGAATAATTTAAAAAGCAAGACCCCAAAAAACATTCGAGACCATTAAAATATGTGGACATTGAAGTTCTGCTATACTAGCATTGTTTTTATTATGCTCAATTCATGTAGAGCATACTTAATATTATTCAGCGAAGAAGTTAAGCAACAACAACATCTTTGCTACTGCATAAGGTTGGCTACCTTTTACTACCCAGCATATGGTTGGCCCTTCAGGTTGCAAGCGCACACTTGTGGGTTCACGTTGAGTTTCTCATCAACCAACACCCTCAAGTCTTTCTCCTCAGGGCTGCTCTCAATCCGTTCATCCCTCAGCCTGTATTGATATGGGGGCTTGCCCTGACCTAAGTGCCAGACCTTGCATTTGACCTCACAAGGTTCATATGGGCCCAACTCTTGAGTTTGCCCAGGTTCCTCTGAATGCATCCCATCCCTCAGGCGTGTCAACCATACCACTCAGCTTGGTGTTGCCTACAAAGCTGCTGGGGTGCAGTCACTCTTGCTCTCTGTTGTTGATGAAGATACTAAACTACCAGTCCCAACACAGATCCCTGAAGAACACTGCTCATCACCAGTCTCCATCTGAACACTGAGCGTCTCACCACTACTCTCTTGATGCAGCCATTGAGCCAATTTTTTTATCCAACAAAAAGTCTGTCTATCAAATGCATATTTTTCTATTTGAGTGAAGGTGGCATCTGTAGTTCTTCCCTTGTTCACTGATTTAGTCATTTCATCATAGAACACCAGTGGGTTGGTCAGGCAACGTTTGCCCTTAGTGAAGCTATGCTAGTGATGATAGTTCCATAATCTCCCTGTACTAGCATTTTCCCTTTTTAAGTGAGGGCTATTTTATCTCTTCAGAGATTGATTTAACTCACAGATATTTAAAAAGCAATTGCATAACCTTACACAGAAGGCAGTAAAGAGTTTCAGACTCACATCACCTCTAAGTTATTTTCATCTTCTTTTGTTCATGATTGCTTGTTCCCTGCTGTTACAGTCACTAGATTTCCCCGACCTGTATCGCCTCTTCAGGATGTGGCCATCATCATTGGAAGCCGTGAACAATTAGCAGTGTTGTTGCAACTGTATGACTATCAGCTAGAACATGAGGGTACCACAGGCTGGGAGACTTTGCTATGGGTAGTTAATCAGCTGTGAGTTCATTTGTATCTCATGATTTCTAATTTTCATTTTTTCTTTTTCTTACGCATGATTATTCTTAGCAGTTATTAAATGTCAGAATTTTAAGTATGATTGTGCTTAAGAATTACTAGAGAGGAAAAAAATTGAATTTTTTTAGATGATGTTATTTTTATACTGAGTTGACTTTGTTTTTATTCAGAAAATACCAGCTATCTAGCAGAACTTGTAAGTAACCCTCTTGCTCCAGAAAATGGTTTATTTCATCTTTGCACTAGCGCGTAGTCAGTTCTCTGTTGAAGTGAAGATTTTTGTATTCTGAATATCTCATGAAAGATACTGTGTTTGAAAAAATAGGTCACACCTTTCTGGCACTTAAACCCTTGCTTTCTTCAAGGGCCAGGAATTGTACAGAACATGTACATAATTTCATAAAAAAACAGTAGTGCTCAGTGTGTGTATATATATATATGTATGTATGTATCAATATAAACAGTAAATCTATGCAAATATAAGTGGATAGAAACAAAAGATTGGAGTAGTGTTTAATATGGTTTTGTTTCCTGATTTTTAGGCTACCACAGCTTATAGAAATAGTTGGCAAGATCAATGTAGCATCAACTGCCTGTGTCCATGAGTTCTCTAGATTTTTCTGGAGACTTTGTAGGACATTTGGAAAAATTTTTACAAACACTAAGGTAAGATATTATCTTAAATATTCTACAAAAAGGGCACCTGATAATACATATAGTCTCTATAATTACAATGTGTTTGAATACCCGCACTTTATATTTGCATGACACACTGATACTTTTCCATAAGTACATTTAAGCCTGCTATTATTAAATCTCTGTATCCTTTTGATACAAAGGCCCTGGGTTTTGACCATTTTGGAATGGCCTTTTTGCCTTGCCCAGCAAAAACTATTTGTCATATTGTTTTGTGAATGGCATAGACAGTGGGAGAGATCCATCCTAGTTCTAGTGATTTAAAAATTTCCTTCAAAACAATACACTGTTCAGTATTTGTGGTGTGCGTAAGTACTCTAGCCTGTACTTGATTGGAAATATAAAATTAATGCTTTCCCTGCCCCAGATATTTATATAGATGATATCTGAATATTTTTATCAAGGAAATATGTCACTTTTCTTAATAGAATAACTTTTGGATATAATTCAAAAACATTTCAAAGTGTAAAACACAAGATTACCTATATCTAAAATTGCAAAACAGAGTTAGCATTATGTTCTGCCTCCAGAGAGAAGATTTAAACCAGTCTCTGGTCTTTGAAAGCCCTTTCTTTAAGTTATCTTTAAAACCCTTCCTTCTATAAAGCTGTTCTGATACTGATTATCACAGCTATATTTCAGAAGAAAGTATTTACTAGACAGCAAAGATACAAAGCAAAAATCTTTTACCCCCCACACACCCCCATGTAAAACCATATACTCTGAAGCCCAGCTAAGAATATTGCCAAGGGGCTTCAACTGTTGGTATCAGGAGTGCTAAATACTGCTACCCTAATTTTCTACTCAGTAGAAATTATCATGCTCTTATGTAATACTTTCAATTTTCATAAAAGTTGGCTATGCTTTTAAAAGATTTTTTCTTTCTGTTACTTCAGAATGTCCTTTTTCTCCTGTTGTTTTTTTGTTGTTGTTGTTGTTGATTGGGGTTTTTTTTACTCTTAATTTGCTCCTAAATTTATTGACACTGGTAACAGGTTTTCTTATATGGGATTCATCATCCTTTGTATAGGTAAAACCACAGTTCCAGGAAATCTTAAGACTGTCTGAGGAAAACATAGGTAAGTAGCTTTTCACTCAAATGAATAAAAATTGATTTTAAACCACAACTGGAAAAAAACATGTCAATCTCCTCTTCAGATAACAAATTTGAGAATTGCAGTCTGAAAAAGTTATCCTGAAATGTTGAAAATCTAATCTTGATCTGAATTGAATGCTCTGAAGCTGTAGGGGGTGTGTGTGTAAAGTACAAATAAAATCTCAAATCCAAATACCACTTAAACATTATTTTAGTATGTGTGTGCCTGTATATGTGCATATATATGTATATAAATTCTTCATGTGTATATAAAAAGGTGACTATAAGACACACATGTATTATTACAGTACTGATACAATTTTTCCACACATTATAATACGTCTACCTTCTATATATAAAAATACATAGTATATATTACACACACACATATACACATATACGTATATATGAAAACTAATTTCTTCATTGTGTTTCATTAGATTCTGCAGCAGATAACGGAGTGCTAACAAAAGCCACAGTTCCCATCTATGCAACAGGGGTCCTTACGTGTTATATTCAAGTAGGTTTGTTTTTCTGTTTCTTTCTTAAATGTATAACAACATGAAAAAAATATTCTACAAAAACTCGCGTACTGTTTTCTTTGAAAACTTAGTGTTCTTGTGCTTTGAAGATAGCTGGTAAAGTGGACAGCTGTAAACACATTTAAAAGCCAAGTTTTTTTGTAAGGTTGGCCACTACATTTAGATGATATGCTGCTATGTGCCTTTATCAAAAATACTAATGTTATTCTGTAAATGGGTTCTTGGACATTAAACTCTGACCCGTGCAAATGTAACTTGGAAAAATTTCCTGAAATAGATGAAACAGATAAGTAGGTAAATCACAATTTTGGGCAGCATAGTTGGACTCTTAAAATTTCAGTGTTACCTAGTATTAAAAGAAATGCTCCATAAATAATACTACCTAATCCTCCAGTGACCAGCAGTTATGGACTGGCATATACATAGCTTACAGGAAAAAAATGTATACTTCTTCATCTCACAGATGTTTAGAGGACTGTGAGCAATCACAAACTGTCAGGGGCCATGAAAGTGCTCAAGTACTCTTTAAAGTTTCTTTAGTAAACCACTTCAAATAAGTTATGCAAGAGTATGTGCTTAGTTGATGAAATACAGAAATAACAGTGCTGTTTTGTGTTCGCTTTGAAAGGTTCTTATATACAAAACCGCATTTTTGAAGTTCATAAGAAGGTTGTTAAAGGCTAAATCTAGTTTGTTCTCATTCATAGTTTGCCTTTCTTGAAGCTGTACGTCATCAGAACCACAGCAATACCTCTACTGCATTAAACATTGTATGTTTTTGTTTCAGGAAGAAGACCGCAAACTGTTAGTTGGATTCTTAGAAGATGTAATGACCATGCTTTCACTATCCCATGCTCCTCTTGATAGCCTAAAAGCTTCCTTTGTGGAACTGGGGTAAAGAATATACCTTGGAGTTGACTAGATCTAAATACATCAGAAATTTTTATCAAAAACCTTCTAATCTGTCTGTAATAACTGTGATGCTTTGGGTGAAAAAGGAGTATACTTTTTTTTTATTCCTTGGTGGTTAACAAAATTAAAACTTTTAATCTCTAGATTAAAAATGTAGTTGTGAAAAATTTAGAAATGTAAACCAAAAAGCAACCAAACAAAAGGCCAAACAAAAGCAACAAACCTGAAAAAATCACTCATTGAGAATAAAATGGAAATTATTTTTTTATTTTCCATAGTAGCAAGATATATTCTAAATATGAGTTCACTGTCATAATGTATTGAAAATTATATCCTTTAAAGCTATTAATATTTTTTTAATGAACTTCAAGTTGCAGCGTATTTTCTAGACAGCAGCATGTTGCATGTCCTTCAGAATTAGATAAATGTTATGTATCCTTCAGAAAGGAGTTGGAGTAGATTCGAGCAATGAATTCTAGAGACTACATTTTGTAGGCAAGGAACATATTCAGGGCTTGGGAGGTGTTGGTTGTGCTTCGTTCTTTGGGATTGAGGTGGGGTTTTTTTTTTGATTGCTCATCTGTTTTCTTTTAGTGCAAACCCAGCTTATCATGAGCTGCTGTTAACAGTCTTATGGTATGGAGTTGTCCATACTTCTGCTCTTGTTCGATGTACAGCTGCTAGAATGTTTGAGGTAAGTGTTATCCACACATTTTTTACACCGTTTTAAAACTAGAGTTTATTTTTAAAAACAGTGATTCAGATAATGCTGTTGCATTAAAAATTACGAATGACTTTGGTAAGTTGTGTACTGTGTGATGGAGCACAAAGCTGTGGTGCAGTTGTATTCTGTATCAACAGCACATTTTTCTGTATATCTTTAGATAAACGTTAACTGTTGCTTTTGCTATTCAACACATCAGTAGCCTAATTCACAAATACGCAGTTTTCCGTCTTTTTTGTATATACTTGTACAATACAATTGCATGATAATTCAAACTAGTTTCTATTGGTGCCAAATATGGTGGTAAAAACATTTAATCAATTTTGTATTTTTTGTAAAAATGAAAATATTTTATAATCACTTTACTTGCCACTTAGTGACAGCTTCATCTTTCCCTTAATAGCTATATATTTGCTCGCGATAACTGTTTCATTTAACTAATAAGTTTGCTTTTATTTCCATATCATGCCTTTGTTTCATCAAGTGTTAATTAAAAGGGGCATGTACAAAAACTCTGGGACATACTCCACTTGCTGAACAAAGATTACTTTTTTTTTGCATGTTAGACATACTTGTAATCACACTATCACTGTCCATTTATTTTTTCTTCTGTTCTCAGTGTTTCTTCTACATTTGACTCATTTGGATAGCTTTGCAGTGAACCTCTAGCTGAAGCTTCAACCTCGTATCTGTCTGCAAAACCAAATCTCAAATTTGCCTAGGAAAAAGGAGCACTTAACCATTAGTGTTCTTTGCTGTAGCTCTGCAAGTCATTGCAGATAAGCAGTAAGCAATCTTTAAGCCAAGGGGTAATGGCTTTGAATTGAAAGAGGGTAGATTTAGATTAAAGGAAGAAATTCTTCACTACAAAAATGGTGACAGGAATGGGTTTCCTAGAGAAGTTGTGGCTGCCCCATTACTGGAAGTGTTCAAGGCCAGGTTGGAAGGGGCTTTAAGCAACCTGGTCTAGTGGGAGGTGTCCCTGCCCATGGTCACCCTTAGACTGTTTCTGAGTTGTTGTTTGGCTTTGGGTTTTTCGTTGTTGTTTTTTGGGTTTTTTCTTTTAATTTAACAAGCAAAGTGTTTATATTTTATATTTGTAATAACACACTTTTTTAATGATTATTTTTTTAATAAGCATTAGCCAAACATGTGAAAAACCTCAGTTACAGCAGGCTGTTTGTTGTCTTGATTGCAGCTTCTTTTCAAATTCAATTTTATGTTGATTATTTTTAGGCAGACCTTCATGCTATTTCATTGCTTCTTGCCTAGTTTAGGTGAATTTTTACTAAAGCATAGGCAACTGTGTTGAAGACCCTTTTCTCTCTTGCAAATAGTATTATATTGCCATTTACTTAGTAGCCGTGGTACACACACATGGCAATACGTAAATTTGGGAAGTCACCTCACTTTTGGAAGATTCCTTCACTCAAGGAATTTGACACCTCAAAGGCTACTGAATGGCAAAGCCCAGCAATTAGATAGTGTAATAAATAGCATGTCACCTGCAGGACAGCTCTTGGAGCTGTAAAGATTCTAAGCAGCACAGTGGTCTGCCTGTACAGCAGCACAGGGACTGCCATGATTTGGGCCTACCAGATTGCATTATCAAACCTGTTAAGGATTGGAAGGACACAGAAGTGATTTGGAGTCATTCTGTCCTTTCTCTCCTTCAGGAGCAGGAAGCTGTGTGCTACCATTTTTGAGGTGTAGTATGCATAAGTAATTATTGCACACTGGTCTAGAGAATTCAAAGCAGGGTAAAAATTTGCTTTGTATGTCTCACTGTAATCTTACGTGCTGCTATGTAGCTTTGCCCACCCAGCTGTTTCTGTTGCTTCTGTGTTAATGTTTTCAGTCAGTAGTTTCCCATTTGAATGTTGATGCAAACGGATTTTATTCCTGCTGGTTTGAACATGAAGCTCATAGTTGAGTTATAAATTTCACTGGTTTGTTTAGGTTCAAGGCTAGGGACTCTTATCTTCAGAATAACACTTGAATTATAAAGCATGTTTTATTTTCTATAAAATGGAACAATGCTGTTTACCATGCTTTAGCACAATTAGAAGTGTGGCAGTCCACATAGTTATGTAGCAAGATCATTCTGAGTTGTTTGCTAATTCTACAAATCCCAAGCATTTTGTATTTCAAAACACTGTATTACCTTTAGGCTTTTCCCAAAATGAAGATTAGTAAAGAAAACTCTGTTCCTTATTTATTCAAAATTAAGAATAGTAAGCATACTCTATTTTAATCAATGGGAAGACTCGTAACTCTGTATATGAGAGTAAGTTCATCATAGTCAAGCAGTGAGCTATGTTCTTAACAGCTTTTTGAAGAGTTAGCCCGTAAGCTCAACACATCAGCACTTAAAGGTCTTGCCACTGTAAATAATCCTGAAATATATTGATGGTAAAATGTAGTACTTGAACTGGCATCCCTAATAGTTTCTGATAGTGTAGGAAGTTGCAGCTGTCCCCCTCCCAGTACTTTTACACATCTTAACAATTCTCTCCCCATTCTTCCTCCTCCAGTTACTATCTATAAGGCCACAATATGTTTTCTGCACATGTGCACATATGCATGCATGCTTGTATGAGCACAAACAAATATTGCTTAATAAAAATGACTGCTTTGTATAGCGTGCTTCTGGAAAGTCAGGTTCCTTGCAATCTTTCACAATTTACTTTGGTTTAATTTCAGAGTTTGTAAGTTTGTAAGCAGGAACACTCAAATGTAAAGCAGAATGTAAAACCCTCTCTAGTTAGAGTAAATATTGCTTGTTTCCAGTACTGCATGCTATACTGGCAGCTGCTGATTTCCCTGTGTCCTGTGGATCTTATATGTTCTTTTATTACACTGCTGGGGTGAAAAGCATAGAGTTTAATTTATGTTTATGATGTAAATTGAGTAATTAGCTTATAGCTAAATATTAAACTGACATTTCAGATTTCTCACAGGAACTACAGATAAGCTTTTTATGTTTATCTCTTAAAACCAGCAATATATTACATGAGATACAAAATGGAAATATCAAGGCTTTCCATTTTTTATTAATGCAGATGAAAAACTCACCCTGTTTTGTTGAAAATAAGAAAGTTTGGAAATTGTAATTTTTGAAAATTTGTAGGTTTTGATACATTGAAAGCATTTAAAGGGGATCTGCTACATATGCAGCAAATTTGTGCTTATGTATAGCTGTATAAGTACTGCAAAAAAAATAATCACCTGGAAACATCTAAATTCAAACAATTTCCACATATTTATTGATAATAAATTTCACTGTGATCTCAGATTTTAACATTTGGGATGTATTGCAACAAATAAATCTCCTCTCTTAGTTTGCAGAAAGGCTTGTTGAAATACATTTCATGGATAATCACAAGATTCTCCATTTTCTACTTGCATAGACCAACAAGGGAAACTTGGGAAATTTTGCATACATACTGCTTGGATGGTGGTTCAATCTAAAATAGTCCTGAATGACTTTAAGGAAGGCTTAATGGCATTTGGGAAGGTGGTGTTTGTCACACTATACGAGGTCTGAAAGGTATTGCTGAGGATGGGGAAAACTACATGCATTTGGCCTAAAGACATCTATTTTCATGGCAAAGCCACCTACTATAATAAATACAATTCTCTTGAGTTAGTAGCAGCATTTAAACTGTCAAACTCAAATTGGCATCACTTTAGTATTTAATTATACATAATTATAATACAGAATTGTGTTAGTATGTTAATACATAATTACTTGCAGAACTTTTGAGAGTTCAAGTTTTAAAACAGCTGAAAATAGAGAAAACATCATCACATTGTGTAATTCGTTAGTTTCTGCTGACTGCCAGACCGCTTCAGCTTTCTTCATGCCTTTGCATATATGAAGCACTAGTGTAGCAGTATTTGCTTAGCTTCTAATTTTGGTTTGCTTTTTTGTGTTTTTTCTTTCTCTCTCTTGGTCGTGCCGTTCTTCTTCCCATGATACTGTGCTCACTCTTTCCGTGTGCATCACCTGTGATACCCCTCTGCTCCGACCATTCAGCTGTTGGTGAAGGGGGTACATGAAACTCTGGTAGCTCAGAGAGTTGTTCCTGCTCTCATTACTCTCTCCAGTGACCCTGAAATGTAAGTTTTCTGACTGCCTTATATACCTAGCATCCCTCTTAATACTTAGGAAGAAATAACCATCAGTTCTGTTTCTTAACTTAGCTGAACAAAAATATATTTTTAAACAAATGTAATTTTTAAATAATTTACAAATTAAAATATTTATTGCAACACTTAGATACTGGGTAAAACTGATGAATAAACTTTAAATAGAAAACTTAATGTCATTCAGTGTTTATGGTTTCTTATATTTAATCATATTCTCAGTTTTGGAATTTGCTTACATCATTTCTTAGGAGAAAGGTGGATAGTAATGTGTTCTGTAATACCATCAGCTTTACTACTGCAGAATTAAATGTCATCTGCATTACTAAAATACAGAACAGTTTTGGCTGAATCTAATTTCTGATAGGCAACAATAGTACTTAATTTCCTGGACATTCTGATGTGATATTTCTTTCAAGCTATGGAGGGATGCTTTCCTAATCTCACTAACAGGTTTACTAATAAATGCTACAGCATGAGTAAAGCTTTAATCATTTTAATGCCTTGTGTGGGTGACTAAACCAAGAAAAACCCAAGACTCTGCTGCCCATCCTCAGTCACAGCTAACCTAGTTCTTCAAGTTTACCAAACCATTTTTTATTGCATGTTGACTGGTTTACAGCTGACTCTTCGAGGCATGAGTGAAGCATTAGTTGACAAGCGGGTTGCTCCGGCCCTTGTTACCTTGTCCAGTGATCCTGAATTGTGAGTTTCAGATTGAGACCTTGAGTTAATCCTGTCTTTTTCCTGATCTGCTTTTCTTCTTTTTTTTTTTTTTTTTTTTTTTTTTTTGTCATTGCTAGAAACTAATGTAACTTAAAACTACTAATTTTGTAATTTGGCTTTATTTTTTTATTGATTTTATTTTTAATGTTTCAGACATATTAAAGGACTCTATTTTTCTGTTGTAGTTCAGTAAGGATTTCAACCATTCCTGCTTTTGGGACCATCATGGAAACTGTAACTCAGAGAGAGGTAAGTCACCTGTTCTCAGGCTGTTGTTTTTGTAGCATAAGAAGTGGGTGATTTTTTTAGAAATCCATAAATCCAGTAATATGTTGATGAACTTGGAGAAAGGAAAAAAAAAATGCAGCTTATAAATTATTTCTTCCTGTTATATTCTCTTCCAAAATGCTTTCCAGTTTTTCAGTGGTCATGGAGGAGAGGAGCAAACCAACCCTCTTGTAACTAATAAAAACATTTCCTTCTAAATACCAAACCAAGTATAAACAAATTAAACCAAATATGTAGAGGGGGAGGCCTGTGCTAGAAGATGGGAAGTCCCATGCTCAAATTATTTTTTAAAAACATTTTCCAGTAGAGTTGAGAAATTCAAGCCCATTATTTCCAAATAGAATAGCCTTACATTAAAATGCTAACCAAAAGATGTGATAGGATTCATCTACCAAGATGCTTTAGGATATCCTGCTTGGCTTCCAGCTACTTTAGAAGAGCACGAGTCTCTTCTAAAGTAGTTCCTGTCATCTTCTGATTTAGCCCATTGCATACAAGATGGCATTAAAAGACATCATAGTGACATAACTGAAGTAATCCTCGAGGGTAATATAGATATGCAATTCTTTATTAATAGTTCAGAATCCTGAAAAAGGCACCGAGGATTCTGCTGTAAGCAGTAAAAATACTGTATTTTGTTTTATATAAAAACTATACAATCGCATTTCTTCTTAAAGTCCTTGCAGCTTTTTGCAGAGCTTGCATTCTTCCTGTAATTTCAACATCTTCTAAAAGAATGTGTTTGAGGAAATGTGAGTAAGAAGTCAGTGATGACTCACAAGTACTTGGAAGATGGATAAGTTACAATTTTGTAGCTTGGAATGCATGCCTATAATCAGTTTGGGAAGAATACTGTTTTGTTACCACACAAAAATTACTGTATCCATTGCACTGATTATAATAAGCCTTAGAGTACAGAGGTGATATTGGCTTTGAAAATGTATCAGAAAATGTTATTTTTACAACTTTGAATGCAAATAAATTCTTATGTCATCTTAGATATATTTGTATTTTCAGGTTTTCTCGCCTTTAGTTGAAGAAATCTTTTTCATTCCATTGGGTTTATGATGCTTATCTTGCATCTCTGTCCTCTGCAGAACTTTTTTCAGCATATTGAGATATTACAAAAAAAAATAAAGTGAATTCAGTTCTAATCAATCAGGAAAACTCCATAGATATTAATAGTAAGAGTGAAATATTAATAGCAGGTAAAAAATGTGAGTATCAAAACCAGGAGCCCTCAGGAGTGAAGACCAGCTATATGGAAACACCTGTCTGTAGTTAAGGATGGCTCAAACTAAAACACTGGTAATAGCCTTCAAAACTTAGAGCTGCATCAAAGAGTTTGGAACATCCTGTTAGGAAAAAAGAAGTAAATTAACGGAAGGTCTAAGGTATATCAACTGAAATAAGGAAGTTTATAAAGGTATTCTGAACTAACCATCCTGGTTTCTAGTATCTTCATTCTTTTGTGTACTTTTTATTTCTCTGGGAACATTTAAGCTTCTGGAAAGAGTAAAGATGCAGCTGGCATCTTTCCTGGAGGACCCTCAATATCAAGACCAACATTCTTTACATACAGAAATCATAAAAACATTTGGAAGAGTTGGACCAAATGCTGAGCCCAGATTTAGAGATGAATGTAAGTTGCATCAATGGAGGATGCAGTCTTCCTCTTTCTAAAAGCTAATAGTATGCTGGTTATATTGATTTGTTTGTTTGTTTGTTTGTATTTACAAAAAAGCATGATGAAAACTTGTTTCCAGAGCTTGATCTGTCCCAATATTTAAGACTATTCTAATACAATTTTCAGTTTACCTAATGTTGCTGTGTCACTGGCACAGGATGATGAACAATTTCAAAGCCAGAGGGGACTGGTCACTGCTGCAGAGCAAGTTTGAAGTTATCTGCTTTTAATTACTTGATATGCAAAATTCCTTCTTTCCCCCACCCCGCATTGCTTCACCCCCTGCTGACATATAATTATCAAGTATTCAACACACTTTAAATGTTAGCACAGCACCAATTAACAAAACAGCTTCTTTTTCATGGCCCTGAAATGTACAGCACATGGAAGAGCCAAGTGATTGTTACACTGTCTTAGAGACTTATAAACAAAACACGAGGAGCTATCACACCTCCCAACTGTAGGTGTCTAGTTTAACAGGCTATAAACTCCTTAGGCTTCCTCTGTAGTCGGTGAAGATTTGTCATGACATGCATATTGCTGTCACTAGCTTATCAGCTGTATTTGTAAAATAGAAGCATATTTTAGACAGCTTTAGCAGCAGGAGAGTAGTTATGTTGCAAAATATTTTATGTAAACTGTTACTATTTCAAATGTACTCTGAGGTACTATTTTATTTTAGGTGGTATTACCACAGTTTTGGTTTGAGTTTGAGATAATGAGTTAATCTGCAAGGACAGTGCCATCAAAAGCCATTATTTGCAGTTTTTATTCCACACTTAGGTGTGATGCTTCAAATGCCTGTGATTTCCACTTAGGAACTGTTTCATGCAAAGCAAGTCTGTAGAAAGCAATTTGAAATACTTATTCCAGTGTTTACTTTTACAGTTGTTATTCCACACTTGCTCAAGTTAGCCTTGGTTAACAACCAGCAGTCTGTGGATTCGAAGAGACTGGATATCGCTACTCACCTGTTTGAAGCTTACAGTGCCCTTTCTTGTTGTTGTATCCTTTTTTTAGGCAAAGCTGTTAATTGTTTGGTGTGGGGAGAAGATTAATACTTGAGAAATAACAAAGCTTGTCTTTGAATGTGTGATGTAAAACGCGATCTGATCAGTGTAAAGAAGAGGTTTTCACAGAAGCTGAGTGTGCTGGGTTAGCCTGGAGGCCAGGTGCCCACCAAGCTGCTCTGTCAATCCCTTCCTCAGCAGGACAGGGTGGGGAGAAAAGAAGATGGAAAAAGTCTTGTGGGTCAAGATAAAGTCAATTTAATAAAGCAAAAGCAAAATGCTGCACATAGAAGCAAAGGAAAACAAGATTTATTCGCCGCTTCTAGCAGTCAGGGCCTCAAGTTCATGTAGTGGTTGCTCTAGAAGATAAATGTCATAATAATGAATGCCCCTGTTCCTATTCCTTTCTCAGCTTTTATCGCTGAGCAGACATCATATGGTAGGTACTATCCCTTTGGTCAGTTTGGGTCAGCCTTCCCAGCTCTTGCCCACCCCCAGTCTGGAGGTAAGGGGGCAGTGGTGGAGAGACAGCCTTGACGGTGTGCAAGCACTGCTTGGGAAGAGCCAAACACTGGGGTGTTATCAGCACCTTTCTAGCTACCACTACTAAGCACAGCACTATCAGGGCTGTTTTGTGGGAAATTCACTACATCTCAGTCAGACCTAACACAGTGGAACTGCTAGATACTTAAAAAAAAACAAACAAAAAACCACAAACAAACAAAAAAAAAACCCCACACAAAAAACCCTACAAAACAAAACCAAAGCCCTTGATCTTAAACAGTAAATTTAAAAGAAAAAAAAATGGAATAGTACAGCTATATGAAATATGTGAAGTTAAATATGTTTAAGGTATTTTTTACTATTTGCTAGTCATGAAGTGCTAAATGCTGTCATTTTCTTGGGTTTTGCTGCTGTGGCTTGTCCTTGTGTTCAGTAGAACATTAACAGAAGACAGAGAAAATTAAAAAATATATAATTTCAGAAGTCAATCCTTATAATACCTTAACCACCTGGGGTTTAGTTATTTCAGAGGATCTAATGGTCAATCACTTTTTACCAGGACTTAAGTGTTTACGAACTGATATGGAACATCTCTCGCCAGAGCATGAGGTGAGCAGCTATGTTTGCTAACCACGTAGGAGATGCAGATGGCAGCAAAATTTGAAGCATAATGATATTTAAAACCAAAAATTAAGGAGAGCTTACTTATAAGTGCTATCAAAACATAGCGGGGCGGGGGGGGGGGGGAATGTTGTAGGGAATAGCTCGCACAATTTAAAAAGCAGAAAAACTTTTAAAATGTATTTCTGTGCTGAAGACCTCTGCAGAGAGATAGTCAACTGCCAGGAATGCATGTAGAAACACAGATCTCAGATGTACGAAATGCAGAAGCGTTCCAACAGGCAGGTAGAAATGCTAAGTAACAAAAATTATGGCTGCTGTACTGAGAAATCTTGGCTTTCTTTTGATACAGGAAGAAAAGCTTGCTTTTTACTGGAATTACGAATGCATTTCTCTTTTTAAGTACTTGCATATTTTATGCAAATGAAGGGCAGCAAATTGAGCAGTAGGAGTTGTAGTCCTGTTACTCCTACACATGTTTAAATGCTGCTTTCTGAAACATTCAAGGGTGTACTGCCCAAACTGCTTCAAGTGTCAGAGTAGTACTTCTGAAAAAAATGAGAGTGACGAGTGGCACTGATCTGCAGACTGGGCCACAGCTCACCAGTGTAATAAATGGTTTCAAAGGATATTCTGTGCTGCAGCTGTCTTACAGGGATTTGACAGAAACCAGCTTTGTTATGTATAAAAATCCATTTTTAAATAGTTATCACTTGGTAGTAACCATTCGTGACTGATCTGTATTTTGGAGATTATAATTAAGTTTTTTTCCTCTATTGTATTTGTTCAAGTTTTGGTAAAACGCTACTAATTTTAGTTGCTTGTAGCTTTGACATTTTTAGGCTTAGTGTCTCAAAGTGCTTAGCTTTTTCCTGAGCTGTGAGTAGAGAAAGCTGACATTCATTGAATATGTTTATAGTTTCACACTCTGCATTGCAACTGCTTGAGTGTTTCAAATGCTTTTGTTTTAATGTGTTAAAGCAGTACTGTTGTGAGCAGAGTTTTATATCTGTCCAATGAATGGTATGATTTCTTTCAAAGCCTGCTGTTGGGAATCATTCCTTTATTTTTGGTATGCTGGGGAAATGTAAAATGTCAGTGTGGGTGTGTTTTTAGTCTTAAATATTCTGTAGAAACCTTTAGCACTGCAGTTGCCTAAGTAAAGCAAAAAAGCCATAATTCACAGAAACCCTTGAAGACAACAGCAAAATGATACCAACTTGGTTTTAGCACTTCCTTTCCACTAAAAACTTGTCTCAGGATGCCATCACGCTGTTTTCTTTCCTTGCTTTTTCTTTCATGTGTAACGCTGGTAAAGATACGAATTTTAAAAGATACTTGAAAACTCTCAAAAGGAAAATAGAAGGAAGATGAATGTGTGTTGAAGTTAATGGCTAATAAGTAAAAGTATTGTTTGGGGAAAAAAAGGAAGATAAGGAGGTGTGTCTCAGAAGTGAGTTTGCTTTGGATCCATTTTAAAAAGCCAGGGGAAACAGGAGGGAGTCTTGGACTCCCATAACTATTTCAAAAACATTTTCTTCCTTTAACTATTATTCTGAATGGTTTTGTTGTTTCTAGCCGTAAGATGTTATCAGATAGCTGGAATTTAAATGCACTTGGAAAACAACAGTCTCTTTAAATAGTTCTGTTAATGTTAGAATTAGTTGTAGAGTAGATCTGGTACAAAGTGTTAATGTAAAAGAAAATCACATGTATCTCTTATGTGTCTTAGGTTATTTTAAGCTCCATGATAAAAGAATGTGAACAGAAAGTGGAAAACAGGACCGTCCAAGAGCCACAGGGGTAAGACTTCAACTTCTCTTTTTTTTTTTTTCCCTATACCTCCAGAGTTATGTTCTGCAGAGTGTATTCCATAATGGTGTCTGAGGATTGGGACCAGAAATCTGGCACTGACATACTCTGTATTTGAAAGCAGATTTTAGGAACTTCAGTTTGTGATTGTTTGTCTCCAGTGTAAAACACAGGACATTTTTTTGTCATTGCAATGATACTCTTGTTTTCCCGTGTTCCTTAGTTCTTAATTGTTTATCTATTTAAAGCAGTAATTGAATTTCTGTCCTGAATCCAAGACAGCAGGGAATGCTTGGCCTATATGCTTAGAGCAATGGATGTGGCACACACCTTGCAACTCACTTTCATCGGGGTGGCCTGCAGGCTGAAAGAATTACCTGGCGATGGTAATAACCTTCTCCAGGCTGCTGGTTTTACTAGTGTACATGAGAACAGTTTCTTCCAGTGTATAAAGTGACCTAATATAGTGTGCGTTAGTTTCATCAAGGTCTTCCCTGTACTATGTACCTGGTGTAGTAGGTACCCAGTAGATAGTTGTGATAAGTCAGAATTAACAGTCAGACTCTTTGCAGATCTAACGCTAACCAGTTGCTGTAGACTCACCAACCAACCTGTGCAAGGACATCCCTCCACATAAGCAATGACTTAACATTTTGCCTAACAAATTGATTTATTAGGATCAGTTGCCTACGTGGGCATCTATTACTTTGTCAGTATTTCCCCTGTAGGGGTTTTATGGACTCTTTTTTTAAATTCTACAGACTAACTAATACTTTTCTTTAATTTTTGTTTTCATTCTTTGTGCAATAAAAGAGCCACTACCTCAGACTTCAACTATGGAAAGAAAAAGAGTAATATATCTGTCTAAATATATAAGACTTTTTATGTCTGATAAATGTTTATCATTTCTTAAGCAACTACTTGACAGCTGTTTAGGAGAGATCATTAGAAAATATGAAATTGATTCCTTCTCAAGCAGACATATTCCCAGAATGCAGCAAATATGTATTTTTGATTTATGATATCAAGCTGGTCTCCTCAAACAGCACCATTAAACCTGAAGGGGTTTTAATTTTCTTACCTGTATTAACTGAACTGTGAAACCAAAGGTTATGAAACAAAATTCCTTAGCTGAGCTCTTCCTAATTCTCAAGTGATGTTCTTCAATTGGACAGGAGTTTTAACTTTTTTGATGTGCACTTTTGCCCCTCAAATGCGTTAATCCATTTAATTCATCAAAGCTGTTCTCTTTGTGTGGCTAGAATTTGAGTGATCAGCTTTTCTTTTATTGTAGGGTTTAGGCTTACCTTGCTTTAGCTTGTATCAGTGCAAGACATGTCAACCTAGATGTAAGAGGTCTGTATTACTTAAAATCCCTCTTACGAAAATATCTTGAAATCACAGTCCTGTTAAGCACTTGCAGAAACAGATAAATGCAATCATGATTCAACATCCAGTGTGTTTTCTTTTAGAATGCAGCTGCTGAGAACTTCAAGATTTGAAAAGGATGTCTTTGAAATGCATTGCTTCATTCTTTAATTGGCCTTCACCTTTCTTATTCAAAGCCAGGCTGTGGTTGCAATATTTTACTGTACAAAATTAACATGAAATATTTTGCCACTGAAGAAATTACCTTTTCATATACATGAATGTGGGGGTTTTTTTCCTTGCTAAGCCCTTGCCAATTTTAGTTCCTAGTTTCAGTATTAAATATATATTTGAAGAAGGATTTAAGTACAACTAGGAGATAAATTACTGATTTTTAACAACATGAGAATAAATGCACAAAAGTCACAGAAATAGGTTTTAAAAAAAATTAAACTGTGTCTTTTTAGATCTTGGATACCTGCTTTTGTTAAACACTTTCTTTAGCAGTTAACAGTTGCATGCTTTGTGACACTCTTCAGATGTGCTATGTGTACCTAAGGCCCCTTCAAAGATCTGTCCTGCAGAAGACAGGGTGTCAATTCAGCTTAAAAAGTAGAAGGATATGGGATACATTTGAGGGGATATATTTATCATACAGTTGTTATCTGTAAATCCATAAGACAACATTAGTGAGAAGCTTCCCTTTTGGTTTTTCAAGTACTCTGTTTAAAAAGAACCTGTATTCATTACCTTTTTTTGGTACAAAATGGCAAAAAATTAGTGATTGCAACCCTGCTACCTTTGAAGAAATCATTCAAATTCTGTTGAAGCAGTTTGGAGTTAATTAATTTGACCTGCCTTGATGCAGAAATGTCTGCAGAACTGTTTGTAACTTTGCAGACTGAAAAGTCAGTTTCTGGAAGCTGGCCTGTGCCAGTAAAACAGATCTGCTCTCAGGTATAATTTTGAAATGCAGAGTCCATGCTGGACTCACAAGGGAGAATTTCACTGGTAACGTTGTGTAAAATTGGTCCTGTCTAATGTTGAAAAATGTTTGCCATTTTAACTACAAATATAGGAAGTATGGAATATTTATTAATACTCCTGCTATCCTATTTTTGCCTGTTACACTCTGTCTTAAGACAGATTACTCCTACTATGCTGAAGTTAATATATATCTGAAATAGAGCTCACTCATACATTTCAAATTAAAAAAAAATAATAAATGCAGCATTAGGATAATTTAGTAACGTTTAAGGTTGTAGCATCTGATAGGCTCAGCATTTATTGGGTTGCTCATTCTAGTCCAGTTTCTGGAGGAGATTTTGGACTCTCCACTGTTTTCTCTAGTGCATATGAAGTAAGAACATGCAAGGAAAGGTTGTAGGAGTCACATTCACGCCAGCCAGGAGAAGGCTCTTTACCCAGCAAGGGCTAGCGACCTAGTAGGACTCGGTGCCCCAGGGTGGGATTTACAAAAAGTTTACAAGGGGCTCAAGAGAAAGCCAGACAGGTAATGTTAAATAAAGATTCGTTGGGAGTTACTAGATGACAGTCCACACCAATTTTAAACTTTGCTCATGGTGAAATAGTTGGAAAATAAGAGAGTTGCAAGTTAAGAGAGGTCACTGTTTTGTACTTTTTATTTATGGTTCCTACATACCTCCTAACGGTCACTGTTGGAAGCAAGATATGTGGGATAGACAGGTCCTTGCTCTGACATAGTACCGTTGTTCTTATACTAGTTGAGTGTAAGGATTGACATTTCTTATGAGGAGATTAAGTCAGTCCTCCACAGAGGTATTTGTCACTAGGGCAGTCGCCCAAGAGCTAACAAGTGCTAATGTGGTGACTTCCAAAGGCAGTGAAAAGTAGTGTGCATGAAAATATTCTACAGGTTTCACTAGGACTATGTGAACACAATAATCAATATAACAGTGTATATTGGGCTGGGTGGTCATGATTTTTCAGTTCTTGATGGACTCATCTTTTGTGATGTTGAAACCTCTAGAATGCAAGGACAATTCAGCTGCTTATTAAATAACAGCACAGTGTCGTTTTTTCCTTTGTAGTCTTATGTCACTAATATCTTTACTTTCCTAGCTCAATGTCGATTGCGGCGAGCCTTGTGAGTGAAGACACAAAGACCAAGTTTTTGAACAAGATGGGCCAGCTGACAACATCAGGTGCAATGTTGGCTAATGTGTTTCAGAGGAAGAAGTAAGGTGGGAAAAGGAACCCCCAGCTAACACTAAAATGGACCTCACAGAGACTGGTTCCTGTACTTGAAGTACTTGCCTTTTAATTTCTTCTGTCTTATGTTCTTGTAGTATAATTTTATTCTAACCTCCAAAGATATTTGCACTGCTTTTGAATATCGCTGTGTATCTGTTAATATTGGGTTACCTGTGGTTGATATAAAACTGAAATCATAGTCTGTACCAAGTCCCTGTTCTGTGTTCTTGTCTTTCCAGCATAATTTTTTTTATATAGTGGAAGGTTGTTTGGGGTTTGGGTTTTTTTTATTTTATTTTCTGACAGGATATCAGCAAGTATCTGTATTATACATGGAGCTATTATGACGGTACTTAAAATAATGTAAATTTGAAGTCATTGTCATGAGGTAATAAAAGTGGAGATTACTTATGTATTTAAATTATGACAGAGTAATGCAGATTTTTTTATGATGTTTCTAAAAAGAAGAGGAAGAGCCACCAGCATTTGTCTGTGCTTCTAGGATTGTTTTTGTAAGTATTGTGCATCTTGAATCCAGAGGAATTGCAGTAACTAATGTACGAACTGTTTGCACTTGCATCAGTCTGCAGGGAATGCTCATGTTTCAGATGCTTTACGCTGACATTGTAAATGCTGTACAAAGTCCTTCAGATAATATTCTCACATCTGTTGTGGTTTTTTGAGGGATGTTTTCTGTTGTTGGGGTTTTTTATTTTAAAGCACTTTAACAGCCAGTCTACACATCCAGAGGCACATCCACTAAGTAAAGGAAAAACATGATAAATCAATACAAGATAATAAATGTATAAACTAATATACTTAAGGACTAAGGGTCCCAGAACAGTCCTGCAGGCAGAGGGAAGTAGGAGAAAGAGTGCTTTCATCTTGCACTCAGTGTGCACTTCTGTGTACTGTGAAAGCTAAAATTAAGATTTCTCTTTTAGTTGTCATTTAGGTTGAATCTCAGTTCAAATTTAACACCATAGTATTTGAAATTGTTAAGTTTGACATGCAGTTTCCTTAAAATGCTAGGTAGGCTGCATACATACTTTATACAAATGACATTGTGAGGAGTATCTTCAACAACTACCAAATACTTTCGTTAGCAAGGAAGCATTAACAACTAAATCTTTCTATTCTGTGCAGCACTTTCTTTTTTCTCTCCTTCTTTATGTCGATGTAAGCTTCTGAAAGTGAACTCAAGTGCATGCATGAACTGGTGTGAGGTTGCAAAATATGAAAGCTCAGGCATTCTCTGACATGGTTCCATTCAGTTAGAAGCATTAACATCTTTGAGGACAGGGGAAGCAAAAGGCGTGAGGGAAGAAAGTACTCGCTTCTGAAGCAGAATTGGGTGGAGTAGCACTTCAGGTATTGCCCTTAGACAAAAATAACAGAGATAACTTGGGGCTTCTTCTGACTGCTTCATGTCTGTGCCTGTTGGCTCTGCATATACAGTTGCCTGCCATGTTTGTGTTGTGACAGGGCACACTTGCACACTGTCAGTCTCTATACACTGCACTGATGAAACATGTTCTTGAGATTACAGACAGCTCCATGCCTTCGTATTGCTTGTTACCATGAAAGTATACTTTTAGCAGACTGACTGTGAAATGGAGACATTCCTGAGGAATGGGAAGTGGTGACATTCCTCTCTATTGTTCTGTTGTCAATAAAAAGTTTTGTATACCTGCCTTGTCTTGTTACTTACAGTCTTCTCCAAAAAAGATAATAGAGTCATAGAATAGTTAGGGTTGGAAAGGACCTTAAGATCATCAAGTTCCACCCCCCCTGCCATGGGCAGGGACGCCTCACACTAAACCATGTCATCCAAGGCTCTGTCCAACCTGGCCTTGAACACCGCCAGGGATGAAGCATTCGCAGCTTCCCTGGGCAACCCATTCGGTGCCTCACTACCCTAACAGGAAAGAACGTTTTCCTTATATCTAATCTAATCTAAACTTCCCCTGTTTAAGTTTTAACCCATTACCCCTTGTCCTACCACTACAGTCCCTAATGAAGAGTCCATCCCCAGCATCCCTATATGCCCCCTTCAGATACTGGAAGGCTGCTATGAGGTCTCCACGCAGCCTTCTCTTCTCCAGGCTGAACAGCCCCAACTTTCTCAGCCTGTCTTCATATGGGAGGTGCTCCAGTCCCCTGATCATTCTTGTGGCCCTCCTCTGGACTTGTTCCAACAGTTCCATGTCCTTTTTATGTTGAGGACATCAGAACTGCACACAATACTCCAGGTGAGGTCTCACGAGAGCAGAGTAGAGGGGCAGGATCACCTCCTTTGACCTGCTGGTCACGCTCCTTTTGATGCAGCCCAGGATATGGCTGTCACAGCAAAACAGCTATTACAGGAGAGAGGTATAATGTGCAAGCATTATTTAGGCTGATTTCTTTATGTAATAGATGATAGACTGGGCATGTGGTTTTATTGCCATTTTCATGCAGGGCCTCCTCCCCTCCTATGCTGTGTTCCCCCCCACACCCCTCTTCCTTCTTTCTTCTGTGTCTGTCCCAGTAGCTGCACTGCCAGAGAACTCTAGTCATGAGACCAAAATGATTTCTTTATGGTTAAACTTCTACTTTCCAAAGCAGGGCAGCTGCCTGCAGGCTGCCTCTGAGAGTGACTCCCTAGTGCACACTGAACTTCCACCAGGGTCTGGTATCCTGCTAATGTCACAGCCAAAAAACTGTGACAGCAATTTAGTTATGGGTGATTGTGGGATGAGACTCTTTGGTTTGTTGGTATAAATGTACTGTCTTTGCCCATGTAGGTCCAATCTCTCTAAGCCCTTGCATAGTTTCAGCTTTTTCTAGTCTGCATTTTACTTCATACCAATTGATCCAAGAAGGAATTTGAGTGAGATTCCCAGGAAGACCAGCACAGTAACTGCTGATGTGAAAACATTTCTGTGTGGGCAACAATTGTGCAGGTTGTCTTCAGGAGTTTTATCTCCTACATTTCAGGTCTCTGTTCATTAGCTTAGCACATACTGATAGATTTTCAGGAATATTGCAAAAAAGTTGCTCTGTGCGGCTTTTGGGAATGTTCAGGGTGTGTTTTGTTTTCTTCTTTTTCCTCCTAGCTATGGCACTGTTCCCAATTTGGGATTGGGAAAGAAAAGAGAGAAATTGGGAAAGAAAAAGTTGGGAGAGAAAAGTGTTGGTTTTGTGTTGGGTTTTTTTTTTCCCTCCTATTATACAAAATAAGTGAATCTTTTGGGGAGAAAATGCATCATTAAAAAACGACAGCTGGATATCCAGCATGGAAAGCCAATCACCCCCCTAGTCTTATCTTCAATTGCTTATGACTTTGCCTAAATAAGGATTCTCCAAAAGCAGGATGATGGCTTCATTAGCTCTGCCTGAACTTCTGCATCTTGTTTGCTGTAAATAGAGGGTACATTGAAGGTCTCCTGCTGCCCTTGGTGAAATTTCAGTCTTGGTATCTTTATTTAAAAGACTGACTCTTGCACTCTCAAGCAAAAATGATCAGTGGGCTAAATGGCTCTTCAGCTGCCTGAATGAGTGTTAATGGTTTAATTCTGCAGATAAGGCTGACTGATATTACATGGCTGGTTCTGAAAGAGGTTGTTTTCTAAAGCATAAATGTGACAAATTACTCTTTTCCAGTCTTCTAATTGAGGTGAATAAAGGGAGCTCCTTAAGAAAAGCTGCACATTCTTCTCTTGTCAGCCTCTTCCCACTCTGCTTTCGCACTAGGAGGAGGAAAAAATGCTGCTATCACTGTGCATAAAAGTATATTCCCATTAGGGGAGCTACAAGCCGTGTTTGAACAGATTTGGAAACCGAGGAAGCTCACGTTTGCAAATTAAACTGTTAAGATTGAAAGATGAACAAATACCCATAAAAAAAGATCTGTTGTGAATAACAATGAGTTTTTGTAATATATTATGGGAATTCATTGCTACATATGAATGATGATGATTCAAAATGGTACAGAAAAAGGAGAAGTGTGGAGTATTTCTGTTCTGTCGCTGTTGTGACAGTGTAAATGGCATTTTCCTGTTCCAGGAGTAAGCAGCTCTACATTTTACTGCAGCTCCTGAAGGTAGGTGTCATGCCTTTAAGCTGTTTTAAGTAATTTCCCATGTGAAACTTACTGATGCTGGTATTTAAATAAACCAGAGAGTACCAGCATGGAGCAGAACATCATTGATTACGGTGATGTAGCGAGCTGATTGACATGGCATTGATCCTAGGTCACAGAATTTCTTGCATCAGATGCAAATGCTGATACAGGACTGCAGAATGGTGCTGGGCAATAAGGCTTTAAGGGAACTGGTTTGGTGGTTTGCTGAGTTCATGTGGCTAACGGTTCTAGCAAACGTATTTGGATATGTAGCTAATTTGGTTTCGACTATAAGACTGGTCAACAAAGGCTGTTGTTGGATAAGTAGGCTAACTGGGTCCTGGATGTTGGTACCGTATGCTAATATATCATGTGTTAACTAATCTAGATGAGTAACCATGAATGAGTAGTCATTTCCCAGAGAAGCTGTTTCTGAAGTGTTTTGTCTTTAGGTTTCATGCTTATAGGTAAGCTGTAAGAAAAGGTGGTTCTGCTTGTAGAGTTTGTAACGGGCAAGTCAGTGGCAAGCAGCCTGCATCTCTGGGGGACCTTCACTGCATGCTGAGCTTGAGCTTCCAGCTTACTTCCAAGGTAGCGAAAGACTTCCTGGACTGAAGTTGTTTAGTTGCTAGAAACTTGGAGCATGAGCAGTTCTACTGTAGAAGTCTGTGACTTGAAAAGGTGACTCAGGAGCTGGCTTAAAGGGCTGACACCGTGACAGTGGTCGGTCAGTCTGGTTCCTTTCCCAGCACTGATATCGCATGTGCTCACCACATCCCTTATTCATCATATTTCAGGCTGCTCTGCACCCATACTGTCAACTTTTGTATCCCACGGAGGCAGATACCTTTTCATTCTACCATTTAAATACTGCATGTATACAAACAGGGCTGTTTGCAGTGTACTTTAATATTGCCATTCCAAAACCAGTGATTGTGCTCTTGTGCTGCTGCTCTTTGCCCTGTGCTTTAATGGAGATTTTTCCCGTTCCCCAAAACCTGAGAAACCTCTTCAGCCTCAGTTGCAGCTGAGGCGGAGGCACTGCAATGGAGGTCTGCTGAAGTTGCAGCAGCAAAGTATGTATGTGCCTTGCAGGATCCTTTGTGTCGCTCTGCCAGGCGTGTTCCACCTTCCCTTTAAATATGTTGCAAAGGGATGGGGAAGTGCAGACAGGGAAGAAGCAGCTGCAGTGTTTAATAGGCAATAAGGTTTCGTTTAGATTAGATCCTTTGCTGTGGGATGAATGCTCTCTATTGATCTAAGTATGAGTCATCTCAGTACTCTGGTGAGTTTTCAAAGGCGCTCAAGATTTAGTGTGCTTGTAGATAAAACGACAAGCTGGTTCTGTGGAACTGGAAATGGGGTGTTGAGGAGTTATGGTCTCGGTTATCCTGCTGAGTGAGGGGTTGATGGATGTTTGCCAGCCTAGAACACTCCTCTCCAGGTAGGACAGAGCTCGAGGTGTGTCCTGGGCAGCACAAGCTCCCCAGTTTGTGCCAGCATGGCTCTTGTCCTAAGGATGAACATACGACCTAAGTCTTGGAGGTCATCAGGTTGGTCTCTCTTACAAGCATGAACAAATACTCCAAGTTAAAAACTCACCACAGCTTTGCATTTCCTTCCAGAAGCATGTAGGCATTGTTGCTGCCACAGCGGCAGGCGATAACCTGTAGGTTCCCTGCACTCTTGTACATACTTCAAACATCTGACACATTAGTGGTGGCTGGTTGTGAACTTTTACCTTCTGAATGCTGCAAACTCCAGGGTCTTGACAGGCGTTCGGCACTGGTACAGTTCTGTGGGGTTGTAAAAGGTGTGTAAACCACACCGGTGTCACAGGAGCTTGGTTATACTTGCTCTCTCATGAAAAATGTGTGCGTTTGAGAATCTCAGGGAGATTGGGCAATAGTCTGCTATGGAAACTTGCGTTTCACAGGAAGAAGGCAGTTTCAGGTTGGTGCCATGGTTTTGTGTATGATTTTCTTATTGTAAAGAATAGATTTTAATGTATTTTTAATGGATTCTTTTAATAGCTAGAAATAAAATTAGAGCCCTCTGTACTAAAAATGTGCAGATACTTTTCTACTGTTTTTCCCTTTAGCCCAGTGCCGAAAGCTCACATACTGGGTCATACAGTAGGTCCCTCTCCCTAGGGCAAGTGATGAGGCAGCTGGAGGCAGCCCTTCTCCCTGCCCCTACAGAGAGCTCTGTGCCTGGGTTGCTGCTACTGCAGGAGCTTTGCTGTGACCCACCTGCCTCCCAGGGATCTCCCTGTTTTAGAGGCCGCCTTCCTGCAGCTCTTAACTTTGCGTTGGGTTTCTCCCTCACCTGCTGAGAGACAGGTGCTCATATTTACAAAGCCTGTGTTTAGTTCAGAGTTCAAAACCTTAACCAACCTTTACAGCATCTAAGGGGAGAAAAATATTGATCTGTATTCAATAAAACCCTTCCTCTCACCCCCATCCCTCAACAGGATGTGAGAGGTGGGAGGACGGAGCTCCATCACAGCCTTCCTGCACAGTGTGAAAGGCATCCTGGGATGCAACCACATGCTTTTCAGTTTTGCTTCTCTGCCCCGGTTTCCTTCACATCATTTGGATACCCAGGATTAACAGGCAGCCTCCTGTTCTCCCTCCTGGGGAAATGGAGCATCGTGAGTAGTTAGGGGCTTTGTGCAGGTTAGGAGCAGGGGAGGAGTGTGTCACTGTTTATCCACGCTCCAGAAGAGAGGCACGAAGTGGTTCTGTTTTCAGACAGTTCTAGAACTTGCAGTATTGCACTGCCGTACTTCTTGTACGATATTTAGTATGTAATGTTCTTTTTTCTCTCTCCAGGAAGGAGGCAAGAAGACATCGTACTGACCGCAGCCCTGCTAAGCAGTCAGCCATGCTCAGTTTCCATCCAGTGGCAGGCTTCACCAAGGAAGGGATCCTGCTGTTACCCAGGGAACTGTTTCCATTGCGTGGCACCTCTGAGGCTGCACGTGGTTTTCCATGTCTCTTCTTTAGAATAAGCATCCCGAAGGCCAGTGCAGTTGAGGGTTTGCGTGCCGCAGTGGTGAACGGAAACAGGAGGCACCTGAACACCACTGTAAGTTTAGAGCTTTCAGATTTCAAGCATTTTGGTTTTATACAAAATAGGTGCTTGGCAAAAGCAGCTGAAGAAAAGTGTTATAGAAAAAACCTACTCTCTACAAAAGGCCGACAAAGCAGTTTTGGTGTAATTTAGGTTTTATTTGTGCTTCATAGAATGATACAGGCGATAAATGCAAGAGCATTGACAGCACTTTCTCCTATGCATTCCCTAGTTCATATTTTCTAGCATTCACATTTCAGTTTCTAACAGCCTACTGAAATACATAATTAAGAATATAAAGCACCCAATAGTGGTTTTTGCGGGTTTGGCTCAAAACATAAAGTTCAGCTCAGAGGGAAATGTCTGAGCTTTCAGAAAGAGGCTGTTTTCACATAGTGATAGAAAAGGAGAGAGGTTTCAGCCTAAACATGAAATACTGTAGGCAGGATCAGGAGTGAGAATGCAACAGTGATGGAGCTAGCATGCAATACTGAACCGTCTGGAGCTCCCCTGGGCTGGTCAGGGCTTGGCTTTACTCAGTACCTCCAAAGCCTTTACTCAACACCTTTACAGCGAGCCAATAAAAACGTCTAACTGCTCAAGGCAGTGTGAGTTTGCTTCTGTAAATCTGTGGTTAGAATGAGCAGCTGGTACATAAGCACACCCTAAGGCCTTGGTATTGTGCTAAACACGAAAAGGGGAACAGGCTCAACAGGCTGTTCTGTTTAAAAAGAAACGTTTCCTTGTACCTTAAATATGAACATTCTATAACACCCTGGCCAGCACGGGGCTGTGGGTTGTCAGCAGTGGATGAACATGGCTCTGGCAGAAGAGTCTCCACCCTGCATTGCCCCACATCTTGCCAAGCTCCTTCTAGGACCGATGGGGAATACCGCTGCTGCCGCCATGAGTAAGGCACATACGTGACCCTTACCTCGCAAAGCCCACAGTGAAGCTGGCTGTGCATATGTTGCCTACCAGCAAGCTGGGTGCCATGGTCATCCCTCCCACCTCTCATTCCCAGCAACGTTTCTGTTCAGTAATAAAGCGGTAGCCTGTCCAGCTCAAGAGTGGTGGAACCCCAGCTCATCTGGCACATCAAGAGGGCTCTGACACTGCAATCACAAGCTCTGTGGCTTGCTAAAGCCCACCAGCATGTCACTGGCCCTAGTTCTTCTTGAGGTGAATGTGCAGCAGGAGTAGGTGCTGGCCCTAAGCCAGGCACATCAGACTCATTTTGCCCCATAGCCCACTGCAGAGCATCAAACCCATGTAGGGGCCACCAGCCCCCAGACAGCCATGTCATGTTGGAGACCAGGTGAGGGAATGTGGGCACTGAGACCTGTCGGAGCACAGGGCTCAGCAGCTTGCAGGTGTTAGCTACTGAAAGGAAATGTAGGAAGATTGAAAAGGTCTGGCTCTATGGCACCTGGAAACCATGTAGAGGTGAAGTGAAGGTCATGGCTCAAGGCTCCGAGGGTCACTCCTCTGTGCAGAAATCCCACCACAGCAACCCAGGTAAAGGATTTTATTGGTTTTTAATATTCTCTTAACCTTTCACACTTATTTGTTTATTTGCAAATATAGAGCAACTTGTAACTGTTTTTTTTTCCTGGTCAAGGGTTAAATCTAAATACACAAGTGAAAGAACAGCTTCCTTTTTTGTTGAAGTCAAGCACACTCCTGGCTTATTTCACAGCAGCGTGTGAGCACAGGAGGCAGGGAAGGCGGTGTAATGGTGTAATGCCATGGCTGGCTCTGCCAGATCCTCAGCCCCCATAGATCAGTGCTGCCAAGCGGCACTGCCCTGTCCTGCCCTACCACAGAGGGTTCCCGCTCCCTTTGCAAGACAAGGGGCATCGTGTGCTGTGCCCAGGCTTGAACAGCACAGGCAGCTGCTGCTGGGTCAGTGGTGGTGGTGATGAATGTGTCCTGGGGGTCAGGAGCCCGCTCTGCACTGCCCCACGTTGTGTTGCAGGGACTGGGCCCATCCATGTGTAGTGTTTGAGAAGAGCTCTCAAAGCTCATCTTCCACTTTTGTTCTCCCTGGAAGCAATCCCACCTTCCAGCTCTGGCTGTCAGCCGAAGCACCGGATGCAGGGAGGCCTCGAGCTGTGCCAGAATGCCAAGGCTGCCACTTGCAGGGCTCTTGCATGGGAGCAGGGGTGGGATAGAGCATGGGATAGGATAGGAGGCTTTCCCCATGCCAGAGGCAGGAGCAAACAAGAGGGCGGTTGCACCAGGGTGGATCGAAGAGTGAGGTGGGAAGCTGCCCAAGGCCCGGGATGTCCTCTGACAGCGTATGGCAATATCCAGAAGTGGTGGGGGGAAGGCAGTGGTTGCAGGCAGATGCAGGGCAAGGGATGGTGCCAGGTAAGAGGAAGGCTGGGATGGGAGGGCACAGCAGGTGGGAGCCAGATGGATGGGCATCCCTGCTGAGAAAGACCGGGAAAGCCGTCTCCATCGGCAGGAGGAGGGACATGGGCAGGGTGACTAAACTTCTTGTAAAAGGGGGTGGAGAAGGGAAAGGGAGGGACAAGAAGGGGGGGAAGCCTGCATGTCAGGGCTGAGGAAATGCTGTGGGAACTGCAGCCAGGCACTTTTTTTTATCCTCCTTCTTCTTCTCTCTTCTCCCCTCGTGTAGCTGAGAGGAAGGAAAGGAAGAAAGAGAAGTAACCGGCTCAGATGTGCCTCGCTCTGCTGCTGGGGCGCCGGGGCTTGGCTGGAAGGATCTAGTTTCTCTTCTGTGGCAGGAAAAGGAGCCACAGGAGGAGGCAGAGACGGACACCCAGACATGCCCGTCCCGGCAGGCCGCTGGCTCCTTCTCCTGTGCCTCGCTGCTGCTGGCAAGCAGGTAAGGGTGCGCTGCCAGGGTGAGCGGGAGCAGGGGGAGGCGGGTGTCGCATCACAGCCCGGGGGGTTTGTTACTGCGCTCGGAGGAGGTGGCGAACCCGGATCCCGCGGCATCTGGCCCCTCCGGCACTGCGAGAGCGGTATGAGCACGGCAGCTTCGCCTGTCTTCTCCTGCCTCCTGGTTGGTTGGGTTTTGGTTTTGTTTTCCCCCGCAGCTTGGCCGGTCTCAGCCTTCTCTAGAATCGAAATACCCCAAACCCGAAGTTCCAAAGGAAGTCGGGGGATGTGCAGGGAAAGCAGCCCGCTCCTGCCCAGGGAAGGGTGTGAGAACCCAGAAAATGTTTGCAGTGAGGTCGCTGAGGGATATAATTTGCATGTGGAGTAAAACTAAGGCAGACTCCACCCTACCAAACAGATGTATACAAGAAAGCGTGAGCACTCTTGTTCCTCCGCTGCAGCTTTCCAGCGTCCCTCATGCTCTGACCACCCCACCATTCCCAGTGCAGGCACCCCGGTGCGGCCCCAGGAGCAGGGACTGTCTTGTGACCCCCTGAAACACTGAGGCCCAGATCTGCTGTGTAACCCTCATGGAGGTTCATGTGTCGCTCAGGACAGAGCTGGGAGCCGAGCCCCAGCCCCAGGTCATCGGCCCCACAAGAGCAGCCCTTTCCTCTGGAGGGAAGGAACCAAGCAAGGTTTGGCTCTGTGGCTGTTTGCAAACAGAGCGTGCTCGTTTTGCAGCTTCGTACAGTGCCAGGTGGCTAATGGGCAGCGTGCTTTACGGTTGGCATCATTGCTGGTCTTCCCCTGTCTTCAGAAAGACTGCTTTCTACAGCCAGCTCTTGCTGAGCCTCGTGAATGGCACACGTTGGGTTTCCTCCAGCGGTTTAGATTCTGAAAGCAGAATCTTGCTTTGCTCTTTCTAATTGTGCATCTTAAAAATGACTCCTCTCCCTTCAGGTTATTTAGACCCTTCTAGACTGGCAGACTGTCCGCAAATCCTACAGGCACTTTATTTCCTCCATTAATCAACGTTTGGCACTCTCACTACCATTTGGATGTCTTTCATTTGATCATCTGTCTCATTAGCCTTGGTCAGCTGTGTCACTTCAAGTGCCTCCCTCACTCAGTGCCATAACTGGGCCATGGCTGCGTTCCCTGGGAACAAGGTGCAGCTTCATGAAAAACACAAGGAAACAAACCAAAACAAAAACCCTCTGGTGTGTACAGCTTACAATTTGATGTCTGACCACATAGTCGTGACAGCCTTTCCTCTGCATCCCTGGTCCTAAATATGTTGCCTAAAACCACACAGGCCTTTTTCCCCCCTCTAAAACATATGTTTAGTTCTGACCATCTTCCCTCCTTAGGCTTCTCTTCAATTGCTGCTTTCCAGGTGCCCTCCATATGTATGTGAATGAGCCCACATGATTCACAAGTGAAGTTACATCATAGCTTTCAGGTGGTTTGTCCTGTTCCTCAGTATCTGCTGTATCTGTCTCCCAGATACACAGTCCTGGTGTTCACGACTGTGATCAGTGCAGTGTGATGAGCAGACCTCAGTGTTCTTCGTACCTTTGCTTCAGGTCACTAACTATTGCAATTTGTTTCCTTCTGGAGCCATTTGGGTTTGGGCAGTTGTTCCCTTTGGAATCTCCTTACTGCCTGGAACCTACTCAACTCTTGACCAAACCTTGGAAATTCAGATTTCCATCCTACAGCTCCCAGCATGTTTTGGGTACCCTGAGGTAGAACCCGGGAGATCAGGAGGAGCTCCTCATTACTTCTCACCTCTCGATACATAGCTTTTCAGAGGATGCAAAACAGGGAACTTGTATTTATTTTGGGCTGATCTGTAAAGACTTTCCACTGCATTCAACACGTGCTTAATTCTGAGTCTATAAGTGGTTGCACAGGATGCAACTTTCCACAGCCAATGCTTTGGACGAGCAGCAGCACAAAATAGTAGGGGATAAGTCGTACTTTGTCAAAGAACCCATTCATCTAATATTCTGTATTCTAATAACCTGCAAGGCAAGCCTGGAGAGATGCTACTCCCAGCCAGCCTTTCAGGTTCTCCTTTGACTGATCTGAACAGTGCTTTCTTGTGAGTGCTGTTTTCTGATGGAGCATATTGTGAGAGTAAGTGTGGAAGGGGTGAAGTTTGTTCAATGCACTTGTTAGTTTGGAGTTGATAATATGGTGGCATAGTGGTAGGGCAGTGATATTTGCAATGTATTTCCTGCAAAGAATGAGAAACTCTTGGAAATGCAAGTTAATGAATACTCACAGTTCTGTTTGAGAATAGGCATGATCATCGTCGTATCACCAAGGAGGAAACAGGAACAGAGAATTCGTGACTTGCTCTGGGTCACACACTGAGTGTGGAGCAGCTCTGCTGGGAGCAGGGCTCAGCCCTTCTTGTCTTGTGCTTCAGCCACAAGATGATCTTTCCAAGTGGTTTGTCTTGGGCGCCTGTCAGAGGACACGGGGGTTTGCTTCCTGAGGCACCATCTGCTCAGCTTCTTCGTGCAGAGCAGTCACATCCCTTTCCTTGCTTAGCGCCAGTGAAGAGCATAAATGTTTCTGCCAGATGGGAGTGCAAGCCTGTGGGAGTGTGCATTAGCAAATATGCAATAAACCAGTTATCTGGTTTAATGACAAGGACTTCTCTTCCCCTCTGTGGCAATGGGATGGGTTCTTCCACTACTCCATAATATTTACTTTATAGGGCAAGTTGGCTCACTGAAAGCATCTGGAATTCTTTGTAAGATAGAAAGAATTTGGCCAAAATAAAGATTACTTTTAACCTCCTAAAATACACACTCTTTATGATGAGGGAGGGGGGTGAAGAGCTTAAAAATGTCCGTGCTGTGTTATATCATGGGCTTTCCTGATCCAGTATTCCTGCTCTGATCAAGGCCAAAGGAATTACTCAGTAGAGAAGAACTTCTACAATATCTAATCTAAACTCCTGTATTTACTCTGTTGTTAACAGCATGGGTTTCAAAGTTACTGTAATTCAGCCAGTTCGTGTCAAAGTGCCCTTGAATTTGTACGGTTCTTGCAAGCAAAATGGGAAAGTTTTCCTTGCTTTGCAGTTTCCCCCAGCACATGTGAAAAATCTCATATAAAAGCAATATATACATTTAAGAAACCTCTGACACTTCTCTGTTAATGTTAAGTGTCACCTTCCTGATGTAATTTCTTCTTTCCCACAAACGAGGCCAAAACAAGCCTTCACCACATTTCAGAAATCAATAGAATTCAAAGCTCATCATCCATCTCTAGGTCACTGACTGACATCATTTATGGTGCAGGGCTTTCTTCATGCTGCGCCAGAAGGAAAACAGAACAAGAAAAAGCAGATCAATCAGAGAGATTTAACTGTGGCCTGAAGGATCTGTCTCTATTGCCTGTTGATGTCACCCCAAGCACCCTCAAGCTCAGAAAAGTGGGATGTAATCTGACCGCTCTGCAAGAGACAGTGCAGATGGTAAAGGGGACGTGTGCGTAACTACTGCGTAGAAAATCACAAAACCTCAAAGTGGTGCCCTCTGGCATTTGTACTTTAATGCTATTTAGAGGAATCGTATTTGAGTCACTCTGCTACGTTTATCCATCTGTCCCTTGTGGTGGAAAACCCTGCTGTACGAGGTACAGACGTAGACACAATGAAAGGTAGCCCCTGTTGCAAGGATGTCCTCGTCCTGCATCTGTCTGTATGACTGGGTTTCCAGGAGATGTTTGCTGTGACCAGAGCCAGGAGGGTTCCTGCCACCACACCCTGTTGCCACAGAATCCAGACCTCCTTCCATCAGGGCTCCTCTGCAGTGCGAAGGCTGCTGGACGCCTGGAGGAGGGGGTTGCTTTAGGGGCTGGTTTAGCTTACTGGAGGCAGACAGAGGGGAGAAGAAGGAAATGCAGATGGTTCATCATGCCCTCCGCTGCAAATGTGCTTCTTGCATAGGCTCTCCCCCTCCTTTCCATGGAAGGAAACTTGCCGGCTGCTGCTGACTTCTGCTGCAGCTGCTCACCCTCTGGTTTAAGGTCGGCGTTGCCTGCACAGAATAGCAGCTGCTCTGAGAATGGGTCATTATTACTGATGGAAAGCACAAAGGCAAATATTTGTATGTTATAAAAGCAGTATAATAAGAGCTGTTTGACCAAGTTGCACTATGGACTTGGTTAGGCCTCAGTGTGTACGACACAATAGCCTGCCTGCAAGAGCTTGCCCCTTTTTATGATTTTGAATACGGTCCAAAGTTCATGTAGTAGAAGAGAGAATGTTGCTGGACTTCCACAAGCAGCAGTGGCTGGGAGTTGCTGGGTGGGCTGCAGGAGGGAATCCTGCTCTGCACTGCACCCAAGGCAGGCTGCTGTTGCATCTGTGCCGTGGCAGCAGGGTTTGGTGTGATGCTTCAGCTCGGGGCAAATGCAGGTTTCCTGATTTGTTCATGTGTCACCACAACATGTGGTCATATTTGTGATGGGATTCCGTGTGAGGGAGGGCTCAGCCCTGCACCAGAGGAACAACGCTGACTTAGGCCTGGTGCTCTGAGACATCCTGGTCTTTGTCCCATTCCTATGCAGCCTCCCCAGCTGCTCTTCACAGTGCTTCCCGTGGTTACCTTTTCTGTTTGCCTTTCCAGGGCGTGAGTTATCTGGGCTGAGGGCTTGGCTTTCTTCAGTGTTTGTACAGCACCTAGGATGTCATGGCTGCAAACAAAGCTAAAGAGTCATTAATCACCACAGGATAGAGCCATGTCCATTTCCCACCAAAGTCACAGGGAATTCTGCCCATGTGGAGCCAGGAAGGGAGTGGATACATCCCCCCGGCTGACTGCCATCACCCAGGCTGCAGCATCAAATTAACCCTCACCTTTATTCTCTGGGTCTCCTTCTGCCTGCAGTGGAGGAATGTGCCCTTCACCATTTGGCCAGATGTGTTCGTGGTGCTTCCCAGCCTTTCCCCTGCAATATTCCCAAAGGAGAGGCTGG